ATGTCTTCCTGCCAACAGTTTTCATTTTAAAAAACCTTATTTGGTTCCTGATTGCATATTTAAGAATTTCTTCCTTTTACAAAATTTAACACATATATATGTTCTATAAAAGATGCTTTCAGTTCTGGAAATATGGACAACTTTACCAATAAAATTAGCTAGGAATATAACACTGAGATATGCTTTCTGAATGCAATTTCATTAAATCTCTATATCATATTTATTTCGCTTTTTGAACTAATTAAGTGATTTTTACTTTAACTAGGCATTTCAAAATTTGCACTAGTTAAATCTAATTACAAAACTTTGCAGAGAAATTAAAAATATAATAATTACAAAACACTAGTATGCAAAACTTAAGGAGAGAGCAAAAGTAACAGAAGATCCCAAACACTGGTGTCAGTGAAAATCCTGTCAGGACATTGGCTGATTCAAATACAAATGTGTACATGCCATTAAGCAGAGTTAGCATGTCTTGCAATCAAAATGCATGAACACCATGCACACACAGTATACTAGTAAAAAATATGAAACATAATGCATCATTCAAAGAAAAGTGTCTTTGCTATAAAACAAGAAGGATTGAAATAAAAAAGTTTAATAGAAGTATAGGAGCATGGAACATTGAAGCGCGGTGACTGCACACTCACTGTGCCACACCACAGTGCTCTTTACAGATAAGAACAGATTTAGTCTAACCAATGATCAGTATGTTAACTTATCAGCTGACAGATGAGAAAGCATAGTCACCTCACAAACACACAAAAATGCAATTCCTTTGGTGCTGAAGTCCCATATGGATTTTTTCGAGATGTCACCGAGCCAGTTTCTGCACAGAGATAATGACAGATTTCATTTAAAAATTGATAAAAAGCTGTTAGAACATGAATATATTCAGTAGCTAGAGAGGCCTACATGTTCTCACATAAATACATTTAAGTGTATAGGGGATGTTCTCAGAAGACAACCTGTGGCATGTCCAAATTCATGACTGAAATAGGAAAAATTACAAGAACTTATCAACACCCTCATGCACAGTAATTTAGCGTAATTATATTCCTGTGCACATTTTAGTTTTTTCATTCCCTCTAAGTTAACAAACCATCTGTAAGTAATTGTATCATCTATTTTCAGACAAAAGTATAATGCTAACCCGTATCCTCAAAATACTGAACCGCCCGAAATACTTTTCCAGTTTCACAACAATTTCCTCCCCTCCCTGTCCATTAACGCAGAAAATACAGTCAAAAGTCTTTAATCCGGACCTCAAAACTACAAATTTTCTTTCGTGCGTTGACGCATGTACATAAGCGTTTACGCATGCGCCTTTAATGTATAACGGACGGTATAAGCTAAGCTAAAATTATCTAATTATCTATTTCAGTTAATGTTGCAGATTATGTTGTTCCTTAATCTTCTAATTAGATGCGTCTAATTATTTTTTTGCAGACTGTTAGAGCAATTTTATAAAAGTAAGCTTGAACTTTCGCTTGTATCAAAAAGAGTTTCCGATTCTGAAGCTGCCAAAGGATCTACAAAGTGAAAGCATGTTTCGATGTCCATCAAACAAAAAGTGGAATTGCTGCAAAAAATGGATAAAGGCATATCCTTTGTTATTTTAACCATTCCAAAATCTGTTTATCAATTTCATTCTGCTCTGCAGGGGCGGGACATCGCAGCATGCAATGAACTGGAAGTTGATCTCTCAGCACTATCCTTATCTTCAGGGCAGATGTTTTTATTTTATTCGGCTTATAATTCCTTACTAAATGTAATATTTCATCTCAATGTACTCCGTCTTTGATATGATTTAAATCAAATTTCTTGTCATTATAAATATCACAAATACACATCAAATAGTTTTCTGGTTGCAATTTTCTAATTTCGACTATGCTTTACGCATGTGCGCATTGAAAGAAATGTTTAATAAAGTAACCAAATAAATATTAAGCTTTTTTTTTTTTTTTTTTTTTTTTTTTTGTAAATTTTGACCCTTTAGATCATAATTGCTCTTTATTTCATATATTGTGGTTAATTTCTGCATGCCATCTCACCAGATTTAAACTGATGATCTCTAATCTGGAAAAACCGATAATCCGGAATCGACTAAGTCCCAACGAGTCCGTATTAAAGACTTTTGACTGTAGGTGTGAAGATTTTCAATGACATCTTTTGTACTTTCTAACAAAGATTCCATTAGCCTTTGACCCCGTTCTTTATAAAACTATTCTGAAGTTCAGACCAACAAGCCTTTCTGTCTTTGTTATGATCACGACTGAGATTTTGTTTATTTCTGTTATTTTAATAGGAAGGAATAAATTCTTTAAAAACAAATATAGTTCTTAATCTTTAAACCAGAAATCTGAAATGCTTATTGCTGTTTAAAGCATAAAAGCACACGTATCACAAAAGAATCAACAACGAAATGTCACGATCAACCAAAAGATAAGAAACCTCTTAGGACAAGCTGTCTGCAGTAAACTGATACAACGCATTTGGGGAAAATGCATCTGCTACTGCATACCTTAGGAGGAGGGAAGAAAACAAGATTACAATCTCAGCCATTTTCAGGTGATTCTGTCTGTTTCAATGTAGGGCCGTGTGGGACGGATTGGATGTGAAAGAGTTAGAGTACAACTTTCAGTTTACTTACCCCTCTGTTACTGAAAGTTACATGCGCAAATATATTTCCCCCTCAAGTTTTGCATACAATTATACAGTAAGCATATAAACTATTATTTTAAATCCCATTTTATTTCATAAATTATTCATTAGCAAATGCTCAGTTCTAAAGTATAAATTATTCATAAAAGCATAAGCATTCATAAAAGCATAAGAAATGAAGATGTAAAACCTAGAATAAACCTAATACTTTCATTAACAATTAAAAAACAAACAACATACCATTTTCTTCCACCACAGCTTCTGCATAATCCAAGATGTAAAGAACGCGGATCAACATTTTGCCAATGGATAAATTAATAAAACCCTATCCACAGGTTTTAGATTTGTTCACGAACCTCAATTACATCTTCATTTTGATTTTGCCAAATTCCTATTTTCAATAATTTTATAATTTCTTACATATGGAGTAACAAGATATAACTTATAAAAAGTATGCTCTCTCTATATCAACAAAATTTTAAAACCTGTTTATATCAGACATCAATCCTGCCATATTTCACAACTCTTTCTATTAATGTTAAACACCTATCAACGTTAAACAAACTGAAATATTAGATTTGCATATGCAAGAAAGAGATAATTTAAATCATCTGTCTGTTGAACATATCAAAGCAATTTTTCTCTTACGCAATCAAATGACTTCAAGAAATTAGCAGTAATAAAGGATAGGCCATAAGAAATATACATGGAACAGAGTTATGGGGGGGAGGGAAGAATTAAATAAAATCCTGAGCTTTCAACGAGAAAAATGTGCCCAGGTGAAATAAATCATCAGAGAACAACTCATATATATTCAATCAAACCAATACATACACACGGGCACATATATAAAAAACATGCAAATCAAAATTAACCCCGTAATTTCCTCTCGCCATTCTAAAAATTGTAACTTTTCTGGACTGCGTCATTTCTAGATCAATCCATCTTGCATCGCTTGCACAACGCTCATGATGTAACTAATTCAGAACCTAATAATTTTGAGAACTGAAATCTTTCTAACCTAAACCAAAACCTCCTCTTGGCGAGCCCCTATACTGGATAACTGCACACTTTTTAGTTTTAGTACTCCAGCAGCCAATATGCTACTTTACTCCATTTACTTTGTCATGCCGCTAACCATGTCACTACCTAAACTGTGATATATATATATATAATTGTGGGGTGCATATTGCACCCATGATCATGAGTGATGAAACGTATGTTTTTGATAATTAGTTCAAACAAGTCTACAAGTCTTTCCTTCAAGTGTTAGCTTTCTAACTAGCAGTTAAGTCTTCCAGGGATATAATGCAGAGAACCATTGCCAAGTTGTTGCAGCTCACTCCAAGTCATTTTATAACAGTGAAGTTGCACAGGATCGCACCTTGTGAAAAATTGGCCTACGGAATTAAATTGCAAGTTGAAAAGTGTGCAATTATCCAATACGGAGGCTCACGAAGAGAAGGTTTTGGTTTAAGTTAGAAAAATTTTAGCTCTGAAAACTGTGAGTTTAGGTTCCGAATTAGTTACATCATGAGTGTTGCGCAAGCCATATAAGATGGATTGATCTAAAAATGACACAATCCAGAAAAGTTATGATTTTTAGAATAGAGAGGGGGGATTATGGGGTTAATTTTGATTTATGTACTTTTTAATTTTGACTCACATATTTTCTTTTTATCTTACATACACACGTGTGTGCGTAATGTATAATGTTGATTTCAGCATTAAAACTGAAAAAAAGTTGAGAAGTCGAAAACTCAATTAGACATGCGAGACTTCAAAATACCTCATGCATTACTCAAGTGGGATACAGATAATCAATGGCAGAAATTTATTTTCAATGATGAAATAATTTTCAGTATTCATCAAATTCATAATACCATACCTATTATAACAAAATTTGATCAATAGATGCTTTTGGGTTTTTTAGCATTGTGACATTAACATTCCACTCCATAATGGATTAGGGATTTGAGATAATGAGAAAATGTCTTGTTTCTGTTGATCAAGAAGTAAAAATTAGTCAACAAAAACAGCAATCCTGCATCCAATTAAAGACTAAGGCAAGGTACATTTTCCAGACTTTACTGCAGCAAGAATGGTCATGCCACATCCCTTGAAACCATGTGATAGGTCATAAATTTTGGGATTGGGCCAAAATATTTTATTTCAAGCTATTTCTTGTATGTCTGTATGCACATTTAGATAGAATGCAAGAAATATTCAGAAATATGAATATGCAATAACAGGTTATAGTTAACAATACAAAATGTTCATATAAAATCTAAAATATTCCAAATGAAAAATTTAATGAACAAAAGTAAAATTATGAATTGTAAAATGATAAAAATTCTTTATTTACACTAACAAATCCTAAACAACATTACAGTATAAACATACAATTCTCAATAATCAACTGACTGACAGTCTAACTGGCCACAATATTACATTTCTTAACCACTTTAGGTGTCTTTCAATTAGTTGTTTTTCCCAGTCATTATTTTTGGCACGTTGAATGCAGTGAGTTAAAAAGTTTTCTTCTTTTAGTAAGTCCCAATCTGATGTGTTGCAAAAATTGCATTCCAGTTTATGTCTTTTGCACTGAACTACATCTTGAATACAAACACCATCCATGTTTTTTAGTTTAACTGGACATGATTCTCCTAAGTTTTTAATATACTGAAATTCATACAAAACATAGCGTCGATGATACCATAATGTTTCATGTCCAGGATAAGAAGTTTGCAGACTTGAAAGAAGAATCAATTCTTTTTCCAAAGTGTCACTGAAGTGAATTATTTCACTTCCATTCATATATCTACTGTTACATTTCATATTTCCTTCTCCTTCCAAATGTGTTATATGCAAGGGACAAGATGAAACATGTTTATTTGAGAGTTTCTTTCTTGAGGAAAAGCATGATAACAGGAACTGACGATAATGAAATCCACTGTAATCTGATATATGAGTAGATACCCAATGCTCCATTCGAGCAAGTTCGTCAGAAACAGTCTGAAAAAAGGATAAGAATTTCATCACAACAATGATAATAACTACCACCTTAGTATTATTCTACGCATATTATTATTAAAATAATTCATTTAAGAGAAAAACTTTCATCGTAAATACGCAAGAAGATGGAGGAAATCTATGGCTATCCATTAAGAATTAAGGTCAGAATTGAAGAATAAAATGTGTTTTCTTCATTTGGATGTACTTTAGAAAATAAATTCAACTGGAAAAAATGACATTTTCTTTCCTGATTTGCTATAACATGATATATAATTTGAATATCAGGAAAGAAAAATACTAAGCAAACCATGTTTTATATAGATTATACAACATTTTTATTTGGACAAAGGCCATTTTACCATGCTATAAAAGTATCTGCTATCTAAGAAATAAAACAGCTATTTGTTCTTCTAACAAAGCTCATTTGAACTGATTTCAATTATTTAAAAATATACTGTATTTTTTAAGTAAGGGTTGTTTTGTTGTATACACCAATAAGTGGCACACTCCAGCGTGTGCTTGCGTTGTGCCCTGGCATTCCTTGGAGAAAACTGTGCTGAATTGCAGCTGTGTAGGTAACCTGTATGGTCTGTTCTGTGTCTTTAAAATGTTCAAGATTATGAAATCACCCGCCCTGTGCAAGATATGGTCAGAAATACATTTTTTTTGTCAGCAAGAAACCTGTCTGTTGTAGACATTCATTGGCAGATTAGTGAAGTTTATGAAGCCACTATGATGAGTTATGGCAAAGTGTGTAAGTGGGTCAGAGACTTCAAAGCTGGTTGCAACAACATCCATGATGAGTTCCGCTCTAGTCACCCAACTCTGATCGCAGATGGTATGGTGGCTTCATTTGAAGTGAAAATTCTTGAGAACAGACACCTCACCATAAGCACGCTTTCAAATGAATTTTCCGAACTGTTTAGATCAGTGCCGTACAAGATTGTTTCTAAGAAGTTAAGGTTTAACCTTCTAAAACCAGGCCGAAATTCTCATAATATAGCCTTCAGACCGGCGCGATCCGAAATAGTTTTGCCCCCTCTTTGTCATTTTCCTAATGAGAAAAGTCGTTAGTCCCCCTAAATGGATGAAGTAAAATTTACATGTTTGTCGGACGCTTACGTCCCATAGTAGAGGGGTTGCTAGATTTGCAATTTTTCGATGATTAATTTGCTTTCATTTAAATGAAGTTCTAAATAAATAGTGCATAAATAAATATGCAGTACTGGATGCATATCCAGTGCACACTTTATTTAGAACAAAATGTATGCAATGTTTATATTTCACTCACTATTTCTAATCAATCTCGTAAATAATTTGTGAATTTTTTAACTTTGTTTTCTCTCTTCATTTATATTCGCGTATTTTCGTATTAGAAATTAGAAAGCGAGAACAAAATTTAACAAAATATAGTAAATACGGACTAGATTGTAAGTCTGCAGGGTGGAACGCGATTTTTAATAACATATTTTCATTAATAAAATAATGGTAATGACTAATTTAATGAAATAATAATAATATTTATTACCATTAGATGATTAGAATGAGATTCAATACAATTAGATTTTGAGATGAACTTACAGCAATTATAAAGCTTTACATAACAATAACAGAGATTTAAATATGCTTTTTTTGATAATTTTGTTATTATAATATAAAAATAAAAATCCGAGATACATTGGTTGCGTTTAATCATTTAACTTTAACAAATATTACATTGGACTATCAGGCAAAGAAGGTATATCTTTAACGAGAATTTTTCTTTGTAAAATTGGCTTTTGTTTATGTTAGCAGAGAAAAAAATTCCGTGACCTATACATGCAATCATCAAAAGAATTTTGAGAACAGTTTCAAATGTTCATGAAGAATTAATTATATGTCAATTTCTTTTCATAGGTAGAAATTTCATCTAAAACCATCGTTATATCCAAAGGTTGAAGTCTATTTCATTTTCAACGAATATTCTATTTGCACATAATATATTTTCTAATTTATTTTAGAAAGAGTAATCTTTCATGTTTTCAAAAGGATAAGGGCATACTGGGTGTTGACACAATGTAGTAAATCTGTTTTTTCATACTTCTTCCAGTAATGAAAAAGATTACCCTGGAATATTTTCAAAGCAAAATTAAGAAAACCGTTTACGCCAAATTTTGCATAAAGTATCTTTTCGTGTATTTTTTTATTTAAAGTGTGAAATTTTCACTTTAAAAATATAAAAAATCATGAACGGAGCAAAATTAATTCATGAGAAATAACTTTGAAATGCAATAATTCCATTGTAATATGAAATAGTGGAGAAAAGTGAAATACAGTTTATTTATTCCCAAATAATTCCCTCATATGCGTAATTTATGTACTGTCGATTGAGAAATATAGGTTAGTAAATTAAACCGGTTATTTCAATACTTTTCCTTTATGAATATTTTTACGGGCTCTTCAGTAGAGCCGTAAAGGTGGCTGAACACTTTTAGCTCGCTCGGGTTTGAATCCCGGCTAAATAGTTGGATTCATGGTTTTTGTGCAATGTAAATGCAAGCCAGCTTCTCTTAGAAAGTCCTCCGCGAAGGCATAACTCCCCTTATACAGGTAATTGTTGTGTGCTTTGATGTAATTCAGTAAGCGAACAAAATTAATCCAATCAAACTCGAAGAACGGGTTGATTACATGTGGAGTTTTCCACCAGGAACGTAAATGCGAGCAATTTTCTCTTAAAAAGGTTTACACGAAAGCATCCATCTCCTTAAGCAAATAGCGTTCGCGTGCTTTTCCGTAATCCAATCCTAATTTTCATACATTTAATAGTAAGTTGACATACACCTTATTACAGACAAAATAACAACTTTTTTAAAGATATTTTTTTATTAACTTGTCTGAATTTCCTCCCTTATTCTCTTGAAGGGGTATAAGAATTTCAGCAAATAAAACTGGCCGAAATTTTATACAATGCAACTAATGTTTTGATTCAATTTAGAAGTAATGTGAGCTTTACTGATATTTAAATACTTTTTTGGCAGATCTCATCCTAAAAGAGGGTCTAATGATAAATTGATTTTATTTAATTTACAATCAATGAAAATCATTGAAAGCAATCACTGAATGGGTGAAAATCACAAAAACTATTATGCATACAATTGCTTCTTATTTATCTCCTGATAAATCAGACAAAATTGCCTACATAATAGAAGCACTTTGAAAGAGTTAACAGTTCTTAAGGGTTTTATGCACTCCACAAAAAAAAATGTCAAAATAAAATCTTATTATTCATAAGTACGAAAAGGAAGTAAACGATAAAAGCGGTTTTACCTATTTTCTAGAAGGGCATTAAATCTAAAATATTAATCTATTCTTATTTGCTATGATTAAAAAACATTAACCTTTAAACTGTCATGCCCGAGATCACTAGTATTCGAAAATGTCACGCCCGAGTATTACTCGTGGTAATTTTTTTTTGAGTGCATCGTATTGTTATACCTGAATATATATCGGGAGACGTTTATTTCGGCTTCATCTCTTTGTCAAACCCGACTGTATCTCGGGAAAAGTTAATGTGCGCTCAGTTTAATAGATGACAGAACTTTACTGAAGATTTCAAAGGTTAGAGGTTATTTGGTTCAAGGTGCATGGGATCTTTTTGTTGTAAAATAGCGTCCAGTTCTTTGAAACGTTATTTAGATGATTTAGATTCTTCAACCAAAGATGAAGGATGTGTGTTTGATGAGCAGTATTCATGATACTTCCATGGTCAGCCTCAAAAATAAAAAATGGAGATATACTCAAGCCGAAGATTGTTTCTAATTATGGTCTAACTATGGGTGGTGTAGATTGCTGTGATCAGGAAATATCCTTTCATCCAACAATCCGAAAACGTCAGATAAAATATTATAAAAAGATATTTTTACATTTACTAGACAAGGTACTCTGGAACTCATATTTGCTCTATAAAAATGTAGTTGGGAAACGTATTACATTTTTAGAATTTCGAATCCAAGTTGTAGAAGAGCTTTTACATAAATATGATGATGCAGCTTCTGGACAAAAGAATGTTGGCAGACCACCTACAATAGATAACCGTGCCCGTCTTACTGAACGACATTTTATATCCCATTTTCCTCCTATTCCTGTGCGAAACGTGAGCCTACAAGACAGTGCAAAGTGTGTTGTTCGAAAAAGGATAAAACATGGGGAAAAGATAAGGAAGGAATCACGATTCTGGTGTAGTGATTGTGGAGTTGGTTTGTGCTTGGAAAAGTGTTTCCAGTTGTACCACATAAGACTGAATTACTGAACTACTAATAGGTATTCACTTATTTTTATTTATGTTTTAGAAAATAGTTAATTTTTTTTTATTTTTAGAAAATAATGCTCCACTAGAAGCGAACTTTGGAACTGCCTTGTTGAGTGACAGCTGCCTGAAAGAAAATATGCAGTGGCTACAAAACTTTAAAAATTTTACCCATGTACATCAAAATATCAATTTTTAACTACTTAAGTATATTTTATTTTGTACTAAACATTTGGTTTTTGCAATAAAAAAAATTTTACAATTTGTGTACCCAAATCATCAAAATAACTTGACAGTTAAAGGGTTAAATATGGTAAGCTTAAAGAGAGTGCAAAATCGCTGACTTTTTTTAATCATAGCAAAAAGTCAGTACGAAAAAAATTAGGATTAAAATTATGAGACAGATTGAGAGAGAGATGGCCTCTATTTGATTTTCAAGTATATTGGCACGAGACGAAACCTGCGGTTTTTGCCAAAATGTAGCCAAACTGATAACAAGACGGAAATAATGCGTAGCCAGCGGATACTCTGAGCAGCGACAATGGACCACCCAGAGATCAACAGATAAGCGATTCTCTAAAATAGGGAGGGCATGGATGGTACTACAGTTGTACCAATGCCGGCGTCAGAAAAAGTCATTCTCCTGGTACAACTGCTGTACCAGCCGGCTTCAGAAAGTTAAGTTAAGCAAGAAACTGTGCTTAAGTTGGGTCCCTAAACTCCAAAGGGAGGACCACGAAAACAAAAGATTTGAGTGTTCATTGAATTTTTTTACTTGTTATAATGAAGAAGACGAGAGTCAGATCATAACGGGAGACAAAACACGGGTTTTACATATAACGCCCGAATAGAAGCAACAAAGCATGGAGTGGAGACACACTCTCCTGTAAGGGTCAAGGCCAAACAGACAGTGTCCCAGCACGAGATCATGGCATCTGTGTTTTGGAATAGGTATGGTGTTTTGTTGGTCGACTTTATTCAACATGGAACCCCCATAAATGCGGTAGCCTATGGCCAAACCCTGTGAAAGTTATGCAGAGCAATTCAAAATAAAAGACACGGCATATTGACAGAGGGAATTTTGCCATTTCATGACAATGCAAGCCTCACACTGTAGTTCAGACTCGAGCTTTATTGGACTCTTTTGGCCGGGAAGTTTTGGATAACACCCCCTACAGCCCAGACTTTGAAATGTGATTTTCACCTTTTCTGCTATTTCAAACATCATCTCAGTGGCAACAACTACAACAATGACAAAGACATGACAATGGGTCGTGACGTCTTACTATGTTGAAAAATGTATGTACAATATGAAAATAAATTTGATTTTTTGAAAATTTTTTGTTTGGTTTTTATTTTTAAATGGCTCTTACTTAAAAAGCACCCCTCATTCTTCAAAATATCTTGATCACTACATGCATTAAAGCACTCCATTGTCTTCATTATATGTTTGTGTTTGTTTGTTCACTAAGAGTGTAGAATTACAAATACATAAAATATGCAGTTACACATTCTTTTAACTCCTGGGAGCAACAAATTATGCATATGTTAGATACAAGAATTAACAAAAAAAGAAGACAGAATGGGTACGAAAAACATTTTGGCATTAAAAATGAAGGGGAAGTTTACTAGCATTCAAAGTAGGGTTTTAATTTATTTTGAATGGGCATGTTTATGCAAGAAGTCCTCGACAGTTTTTTAAGAACAAATGACAGAAAAATTAACAATTACAAAAAATTAAGGTAATTAATTAAGAATAATTTATATGTCAATTTTGTATTTTATCAAATATTTTTTCAAAACCATTATAGTTTTATTTCAAAAAGACCAGATTAGACCATTTTAAAGTAAAAAAATATATACACACAAAAAAAAAAGGGAGGGGGGAAATTTAGAACCAAATCCACAGAGATCCAAATGAAATGAAATTCAAAACCAGTAAAATTTCAAATTTTAGGATGGTCCATCAGCTAATTTTGGATGAACAGAAACACAGTGGTTTTCCAGGTAAAAGGCATTCAAATGAGTCTGATCTACCTCCTCTTAAAAACATTACATCCGATTTAATTACATTCTTCATCCTATGTATTTTTTGTATTTCAAATTCTTCTGACTTTTGGTTTGTTAGTTTATAGGGGATTTTGAAATTTTATTGGTCTTGAATTTAATTTCATTTGGGTCTTTGTGGATTTGGTTCCATTTCTTACTTTTTGCCTATATCTTTCAGCAGCATACTGCACCGAAATAAGATTGGGGTAATTTTGTTTTGAAATAAAAATTTGTGATACTATATATATATATGTGTGTGTATGAATAATAAATAATATTTCTATACAAATATTTTTACTACAATAGAAATCTAAATAAGTTATACTTAAAATACTGGCTCAAATTTATTCCAATAATTCATTGCATTATCATGTTCCTCGGAGAATACATAAAAAAACTTTTTTAATAATAAATTATAATATCTATATATATATATGAGGGGCCAGAATTTAAGGGTGAACTATTATAATTAAAATCTATTGGAATGGTTCATCAGCTAATTCTGGATACAGAAAAGCAAGGATTTTTTATGGAAGAGCGATTTTAATTTATTTCAATGTTCCTCCTCCTGACAAAGGAGGAGGAACTTATTTACCTGCATTTAAAAAATTATTGGCGACCTCAAAATTAACATTCTAAATTTGGTGCTCTTCCCCTAAATTCAGTCTTTTCTCTCGAAATCAAGAATTTTCGATGATTACATAACAACCTCAAATTAATCAATCACAGCTTGTTTCTAGAATCGTACCTATTCTGGTATAAAAACCCCTGGCAGCTAAATATGTCATCTCTTTTTCTGGCTTCTATCTGGCTAATAACTCCTTGCTTTGCTTCCCCATCTAAACTGCCTGCATTGTAATTTTTAATTATCAATGTACATAGAAATTTATTGTATTTCATTATTGACTGGATAAACATCTATGGAGAGGATTTTATAGACATGAAAATAAAGACTGGAAATTCTTCATGTTTCATTGTCTTCATCTTTAAGCCTTCACTCCTAGCCACGATGACTGCAAGCTAATAACTGTTCTATTCAACTTCTATGTTCCCAGAATAAATATTTTTTGATACTAAATTTTATCAAAAAATATTTATTCTGGAATTTTTTGATTCTACTAAATTTATATTAGGAGATAATATAATGTATATTTCTTTAGTAAATAAATTATATATATACACACACACACGTATTCATACCTATAAAAGATCTTGGTAGAAAGAAAATGGCAACAGTAAAATGAGAAAAATGATTAATAATTAGAATGTTGCAAATCACTTCTAACTAAATACATTCAAATATGGAAAATTTTAATATCTACAATTTGCCTCAATTATAAAATAGAGACCACACACATCATTTCATGGCAATGGCATTTCCCTTCTGAAAATATGTTTTCTCATCAAATAAATGGTTATTCTATGGTGTTCAGGTTGTTCAAAATTTGATTTTAGAACACAGAAACATTGCCTCTGCTTCCAATTTACCTAGGTATCACTCTAACTAGACAACTGTAAGACATAATGGAAAAACAAGTGCAATAGCTCAATCATGCAACTTGAAAGTGTTAAATAAGCCAGTAGAATATACAGCTTTTTCTAAAAATTATTGATATTATTATTTTAATGAAAATTACCTTTAAACAAACATGCAATATTTCTTGTATGATCCATGAACGATGGCACCAAGCATAATAGTTGTTTGGATACAGATTGGCAACTCGGGTACACAGTAAAAATTCATGTTCTATAATTTGTTGTAAGGTACATGTTGAAGGTTTATTTTTAATCAACTCCAACAAAATCCATTTCCTGTAAAAAGTAAATTCCTTTCTATTTATAAGATAAGAACAAAATAGACTAATTACAGTTTTGTTGGGAAGGAGACAAAGAAATTTTATAAAAATTACAATATATAAAAAAGAACTGTTTTATAACATAAAAATACCGAACTTTTTTTTTTTTTTTTTTTTTGTTTTTTTTTTTTTTTTTTTTTTTTTTTTTTCTTAAAATAATTACCTAAAAGCTACACACACACACACGACGAAAAAAAAAAAAAAAAAAAAAAAAAAAAACCACTTATGTTGAACTGCTCACATTTATGGGAAAATTAAAAAGCAACTAAAAATACAACAATCAATCACATTGTGGAGAGCTTCAAAAAGCAAAACTGCAGACCATGAGCCACCAGTCGTACTACATACTGAGCAGATATTAAACACTTTTATCATTATAAGCAGTAAAAATTTGCTGCTTGAGCTAAAAATAAATATATTAGGAGAAAGCAGGAAAAGGAAATTTAGATATTACTGCAGCTGAAAATAAGATGTTTTACTAACTACAGTAATAGATCTTACCGATGAGCAAAAACTTGTGAACTTTTAGGCTTTCGACTTAAAACTATTTCAGAAAATCTTAGATCATCTTCTGGAGTAAGAATATTTTGGCACACAAGTTCTTTTCTGCCAAAAAAATAACAAAAATGAAATTTGATCAGTCTGAGCGAAACAATGCCAAAAATAATTCAATAAACCGTTTACTTTTCATTACCATACTCTTAAGATTATTTTCTACATCTAAGGTTTACATTTTTCAAAATTTAATTCGATGCCATCAATCAAATAAATATCTTAATGGAAATAACAGCCAAAAAGAGGTGTAACTGTTATGATTATTAACACCAAATCATTAGTATAAAAACTCAGTCTAAGTATGAATTTATTATTAAATTCATTAATCTACCTATCTACAGTTTCGTGGTTACACTGCTTTAAAAAATGGCTAGTTATTAGTAACTGAGGGATGAAAACCATTAAACATTGGTAGTTTCACTCATTTCTGGCTGAAAAATTATTAAATGGATGGTTTCATATCTTCCTGCAAGCAGAATAAAGTAAATGTACAAGAGGTGTTTTTTTATGTAAGGGCTATTTGAAAATAAAAACCAAACAAAACAAAATTTTTAAAAACCAAATTTATTTTCAGATTCTACATACATTTCTCTATTTTCCAACATAGTTGTTAAGTTTGTTTAAACACTTTTCATACCTTAGAACTAGATTTTGAATACCCTCTTCATAGAAACTTGCTGCCTGATCCCATAACTAAGAGGTGACGGTCATTTTCACGGCCTAGACTATACACTTCAAGAAATTCATTTGAAAGAATGGTGGGATTGTGGTGAACCATCTGTTCTCAAGAATTTTCACTTCAACTGATGCCATCATATCGTCTGTGATCACAGACAGGTGACCGGAGCAGGACTCAATATGGTCGATATCGCAGCCAGCTCTGAAATCTCTGACCCATTTATGCACATTGCCTTCACTCATGGCAGTAGCTCTGCAAACTTCACAAATCTGCCAGTGAATGTTTGCAGTAGACAGGTTTTTTGGCGATAAAAAACATATCACTGATCATACCTTGCACATGGCGGGCGATTGAATAATCTTGAACATTTTAAAGACAGAACAGACCACACAGGTTAGCTATACAGCTACAACTGAGCACAGTTGTTTACAAAGAATGCCGGGACACGAAGCAAGCACTCGTTGCCGCCTACATGACACGTATTAGTGTAAAAGGAAAAAAAAAAAGGTCACTTACTTAAAAACATGCTGCGTAATTATATTTCACTTCATTATAATATTACTCCTTTAACCTGTTCAGGATCAGCCTCACATATACACGACGCAACTATTCCACTCCTACCAGCCCAGCGTAGCGCATACGCGATGCAACGACTCTGCTCCTACCAACCCAGCATCGCGTATGCGCTACGTTAAAATGGAACGATTTACTTGAATTTTTAAAAGCCAGTAGATTTAGCTAAGTGGTAATTGTTTTAACATGGGTTGATTCATACGGCATTTGACCTTCATGTACTGGCTTTAGTTTCTGTTTTGTGCTTCAGGTCTTGAGAGATTTATTGAAATAAACAAACTAGAAATCAAGGTTCTTTATAAGGGGCACAGGTGTTTTTGTTTATTTAGCTAGGATTTTTTTTTTCTATTTATTTTGAAATTTAACATAAACGTTCTTGGTTAATTAAAAAGCAACATTACAACATTATTACAAAAGAGGAAAGACTATCAGCTTTCTCGACGCGTAATGCGTCTTGCTTGCATTTCTCAAGAAAGAGCCAGCGCTTATGTTTTTATTTCTTTTCGATTTAATAGATCATTATATATAATGCCTTGAATGGTCATTATATATAATGACACAAGCATTATATTTTGGTATATAATGTATTTACTTTACATATAATGTATATATTGACGTGATCAATAACGGATATCCTGCCAGTGGGGGTCTTTCCCTTGATCACTTTCCGGTCATCGTGGACGCTGCTTCCGATTTAGAAAAACAGGAAGCTTTCTAATATAAACCGATGCCACACACTGTTTGAGGATGAAATATTTATGAGTGTCTTTTGAAGAAGTTTTGGGACGTGTGTTGGGGTTATATTCAATTTCATTCCGTTAGCCATGGCTAAGAGACCTTACTTAAAAATTTGTCCAAAATCACCGGACACTCCCACCTTTTCTGTCTAACTAGAAGACAGTTTTTCCGAAAATTTGCGTTGACAGAAAAGGTAATAAAGATAGAAGATGCATTGCGTGAAGCTAAAACCAAAGGCAAAGTGAAAGCAAACAACGTATTTTGAGTGTGAAATATGCAATGCAGGACTGTGTGTCGATCTTTGTTTTGGATTATTTCACACACAGCAGAATTTTTAAATTGGAATTTAATTACCTACAGGTAATTCGTGTTTAGTTTTTTCTTTTTAAATATCGTATTTGAAAATTTTTTTTTCATGTTTATAGTATTTATTTCTGTGTGTATATGATTTTAGTATTTTGCCTATTTAATTTATTTCTATTAATGTGATATTCTTTACATCAATGCACATTAAAAGCAAGTACATTAAATACGCAACTTCAAGAATTGAAGTTAAAATATCAAAATGCTGATTTTTTTTTTTCAAAATTAGGCTTAACTGCTGAAAATCTGTGGGCCGGTGGCGACGATCCATTTCAGCGAGTTTGGTCCTGTGACTGTGCTTTGTTCCCCCGCCGTTGGCCCTTAAGGGGTTAAGAAAATAAAAATTATTATCATCCAAAAGCACTTTTATTTTATTTTAAAGCTGCCACACAGCTTCACGTTAAAAAAAAATTATCAGTCAATTTTTATCAAATTAACCAGCCATATTTTTTTGGTTCATTTTCAAAAAGTTCATGGAAGACTCATGTCACGGGTGTAACTTGCAATACTTAAATTTGGCTATCAGAAGGTGTTAGAGCAGCGGTTCTCAACCTTTTGACTATCATGTACCCTCTAAACAAAAACTGAAAAACTTTAGTAATAACACTACATTTTACAAAGATTACTTTTCAATTTCTCAACAGAAATATATAAAAACATATATTTTGCCATTTGCACAACCTATTGGCTGTTTGTATTAAATGTGCACACATAAAAAATATTAAATTAAAATTTAGTTACCATTTTAATTATCAAAATTTAAGTTATAATACTTTAATTCTAAAATTTAGTGTGAAATTTGAACCTGTTTAAGAGAGATCAATTTCTTTATGTTTGGTCTTATTTCCCTTAACCGTAAATTAGGTTTCAATTTTAATTTTGTTCTGTATTTCTTTTTCAAATAAAACATGAAAGAAAATACTTGTTCTCACAAATCGGTTGTGCTAAAAGGCAATAAAAATTTAATAGCTTTATTTAAAACACCTTTAAATTCTTTTTTTGGGTTCAGTCAAAAATTAACAAGTGTGTTACTTTTTAAATCTTCAGTTAAGAGTTCGATCACAGGAAATTTCTATCAATTGTTCTTTTCCTTCATGAGATTTTTGAATTTAATAGTTAAATATACTTTGTTTCTTTGTATACGACCTATTTTCTCTTGCATATCACCAGTGATATGTGTACCAATGGTTGAAAATTGTTGTATTAGAGTATTCTCTACACAAGACATGTACGAAATGACATCATCTGAGGCAGTACAATTTATGCAGCAGTGCAAATGGAGTTAAAGCACCTGTTAATCATTCCATACAATGTTGCACTCTGAGTAAAGAAGCTCCAGTTTCTTTCATCAGAAGATCCCTGTGATGTTATAACCCCCTCATTTTTAAATTTCACCTCAGTCATTTCGCTTAATTTCTTAATCATTTAATGCAATTAATGCAAGGGATTTTCGAGTAAAAAGGCCTGGTTTGTTTGATCAGAAACAAAGCCCAGCTATAAACATAATATTTGGCAAATTTCTCACCTCCTGGTTTCACTTCCTCTCTTATCAAGATCTAAAGAGGCAATATTTCCAGATAATTCAAGCATCAAAATCAACAATAACAACTTAATCATTGATATCAAATGAGGCATTCTCTTAAAGCTTGCAGGAATGACAGGAGCATTCCAAATGTGTTTGTTTCAATGGATGTTCGCTGGCCTCCATGATTAATCACCAAAAATGATTGCTGACTGAAAACCAATACTACTTAACACCTCATCCAGGCAACATTACTTTCAAATCTGCATTCATAAAAGTTTTCATAAGGTGAAATCCCTTTTTTCTTGAATGAATGCTATGTACGGTTTGGTATCACCCTACTTAGTACAATTTATATGGTCTAGTGCATGGGGGGAAGGCTTTAAGCCTTATTAAAAAGCAGCTACATAAACTGCATGTAAGTACGCCATCTCAAAGTAAATGCAAGAAAGTGAAAAACTATATGCACGTGGAATTCTCTAATATTTTTGGGTGTCTTCTGCTCAGTAGTTTTTTTGCTTACTATACAGTTTATGTCTGCCAATTTTGTTGCATGGCAGCGGCTATAATACAAAAGTAACAATAACTTTTATATTTCAAACAGAACTACCCTACAGGCATTTTTCAGAAAACTTTTAACACAGGAGTATATACCACACAGTAAAAGTGTATAGACAATATAATTCAGGTGCAAAATATTCTGTAACATCAGTATCAGCAGTTAATACAAAATGGGCCATTCAAAAAAGCTCAGAAATTTAGCACGTTAACCGTTATTGGATGACACACTAGTAGAAGTTCGTTTGGGTGATTTCATATCTGTTACATCTGTCCCAAGTCTACTGTGGATATATTAGAATCAAGATAGAGATGTTTTGTAACCACATTCAAAGGCAGTATGGTGGTAGGTCCTTTAAATTAATGAAGGGTACTTGACAGACACTTTATAAAAATAAATAACAATTAGTTTACTACCACTGTCAATCAAATGTGCATTTGAATGCACATCAGAATCCATCTTCACCACCAGGACTTTTTGGAACGAATTAAAACATATAATTTACTGCTGAAAAATGGCGAAAGCTCCTAAACATTAGCGAAAGCTGATGTTTAAATGTGGAATGTCAACTTAATTTTTTTTTTTTCAAATTTTATATGGACCTCATTTTAATTACTCATGCCTTTTGATTCTTCAATACATTTACCAATATGTCAGAAAACACATAAAACTCAATAAATTACATAAATCATAGCTGTTGGATAACAAAGAAAGAGAAAAATTGTTATGTATATTGGCAAATTACATTGAGCTGGTCAAAAATTTTCTTCTTGACATGAAATATCACAGCTGCAAAGGTTATACAGTACAAATGCTATGTAGAGAAAATTTCATATTACCATCATAATTTATACTCAACCCTTTGCATATGAGAAAGAAGTTTTATACATACAATTAAGGAGTTTTATATTATAACAGAGATCCACTATGGGTTAATAAAATAAAAATTAATCTCAGCTGTGGAATAATAAAGTCATTTTGGGCTCTTACATGTGAAGTAAATTTACAAATTAGAATTAAATACATTTCTTATTTTTTCAAATTTCTAATGCTATTGATTATTCTACCATTATGGATCTTTTCCAATTGTTTAAACTACTTTTTTCTTCTGTACTTAATTTTGATTTAATGATTTATTTTAGAAATGTTATAATCAGAAATATGTTTTTAATAACGGGGATAAGTAAATATAAATCTCTCTCATATTTTAAACTGAAAATTTCATAAGGTATAGAGCAATATATGAAAAAAACTACCTATATGAATATGAAATTACTGTTACTGATTTATTTCATATTTAATATTACCTTTATTAAACATGAAAAAAATTACCCAAAAAAGAATTTAGATAATTCAGTATTTTAATATAATAATGGAAAATATAAGAAAAATACCCCTCTCGCTTTTCTCAGGCTTGGAACTAGCCTCAGCATGATTAATATTTTTGGTACTTAATGCATTTTCCCATCAACTATGAAAACTGACAGAGATAATATCAAAACTAAGGTGGAAGTTTGGGGGAAAAAAAGAGATTGCTTTTTATTTAGTTAGATAATTACATATCACTGTTTATATTAATTTAATTTGATAATCAACAGATACAAGTTGCAGGTACAGCATATAAAAATTTAAATAACTTCAAGTTCAAACTTTGAAATTATATGACAAAGAAATTCATTAAATCTATTGGCAAGCATTACGACAGTCAAAAATTCCTACTAGAATATACGATAACAAAACTGTTAGCTGCTTTATGAAATTAACATCATATACATTTACTACTTAAATTTGTTTTGTTCCATGATGTCTTTTATTGCACCATTTTGATGAACTACTCATCTTTTAATGTTTTGAATATGTGCATCAGCATAACCAGTCCTGCGACTCTGAAAATACTTTAAAATTTTAATCATCTTATTTTTTCTTCCAAAATCAAGAGAAAAACAGAGAAATAGTAATTAACTTTGTAGAGACATTAGGTTTTTTTTTGTTCTTGGAAGTAGGAGAATTGAAAAATTAGCAATTGCCGAATCGAACCTGGGCCCTCTCAAATACTGGCTCAGTGTACTGACAACTACCCACGAAGGCACGCTAGGAAGATGGGAGAAATTCCTTATATACTCCCCCTTTTAACGAGCAACTGGGGTTTTTAGGGGACCCAATCGCCAAACCTTGGGGAAGGAGAATCATCATCCAACATCCTTTTAGTTTGGGCGCCACTAGCAATTGGCTTCGCCGGGAATCGAACCACAGACCTCTGAAATACCAGCTCAGTGTGCTGATCACTACCCATGAAGGCACGTTAGGAAGATGGGGGAAATATCTTATATACTCCCCCTTTTAAAGGGTGACTAGGGTTTTTAGGAGACCCAATCGCCAAATTTTGAGTGAGGAGAATCATCATCCAACACCCTTTTAGTTTGAGCACCACTGTAGAGACATCATTATTATTATTATTATTATTATTTTTTTTTTTGAAGTACGAGAACTGAAAAATTAGCAATCTCCTTCGATGGGAATCGATCCATGGACCTCCGAAATACCGGCTCAGTGTGCTGACCACTACACCACGAAGGCATGCTAGGAAGGCGGAAGAAATACCTTATAACTTTTTCAAAAAATCTAACCTGGCTCACTGAAGATAAAGGCTACAGAAAACCAAAATTTGAAGATCAAGGCTACAGAAAACTTCTTATGAGTGTATTGTGACCTACTACTGGCAACACTGTCAAAAAAGATTGATGACAAAATACATAAGTACCATATTTTTTACCTTTTTTTTATTTATTTACTGCTTACAAATTGATAAATCTCAAGTCAAAATTAGCTAAGTTGCTAAATCCAGCTAACACTGCTTTATATTCATTTAATCAATTCAGACTTAAGTTGTATTTTGCAATCACTGAATTTGATTCCATTCACTCTTTAAAATACCAATGCCTAATGAAGAACTAGTTTTACAGAGTGAGGAGAATTGAATCTAACAAAGTGTCTAGTCCTGAATTTGCATCAAACATGCATTCAACTAGCTATTCTCTCATAAATCTACTTCAGTAATACAGTCGAAAGTCTTTAATCTGGACTCATCGGGACTTCGGCGTTTCCGGGTTATCGATTTTTCTGGATTATAGATCATCAGTTTAAATCTGGTAAAATGGAAAGCAGAAATTATAAAATTAAAAATATGAATGCATAATTTATGAAATAAAGAGCAATTATGATCTAAAGGGTATCAAAATTTATAAAAAAAAAAGCTTAACATTTATTTGTTTACTTTATTAAACATTTCTTTCAACGCGCACATGCGTAAAGCATACATTACGCATAGTCGAAATTAGAAAATTGCAACCAGAAAACTATTTGATTTGTATTCGTGATATTTATAATGACGAGGAATTTGATTTAAATCATATCAAGGACGGAGTACATCGAGATGAAATACTACATTATAAGCCAAATAAAATAAAAACATCTGCCCTGAAGATAAGGATAGTGCTGACAGATCAACTTCCAGTTAATTGCGTGCCGCAACGCCCCCCCCCCCCCGCAGAACAGCGTGAAATTGATAAACAGATTTCAGAATGGTTAGAGAAACAAAGGAGCCTTTATCCATTTTTTGCAGCAATTCCACTTTTTGTTTGATGGACATCGAAACATGCTTCCCTTTGTAGATCCCAGCTTCGGAAATTCTATTTGACATAATCGAAAGTTCCAACTTACTTTTATAAAATTGCCCCAAGAGTCTGCAAAAAATAATAAGCCGGTTAAAATTCGAAGATTAAGGAACAACGCAATCTGCAGCATTAACTGAAATAGATAATTTTAGCTTAGCTTATACCGTCTGTTATACATTAAACGCGCATGTGTAAACGTATTATGCACATGCGTAAAGATGCGTCTATGCATTGACGCATGAGCAGAAAGTGTGTAGCTTTGAGGTCCGGATTATGGATCATTCCAGATTATGGGTGTCCAGATTAACCACTTTTGACTATACTTCAAATTAATTGTTACACACATAAAAGAAAACATACTTTCTAAAAATATATTTAATTTTCGCTACATATGAAATTACATAAAACTGCTTAGAATTACATACATATAATGATTGAAAAGAAAACTAATCAAAAGTGATAATACCATACCTAGCATTCCACACAGTTTCAATCTCTGGATTAATCAACAATATAGCACATGTCCAAATCAGCAGTTTATCCGACTCTGAAATAGAATTCAAAGTATATAATGTATGATGACTACTGATATCATTAATTATTAATAATTTAAATAAGCTATATTTTGTAAAATTTTTATTATAAAAACTATAAATTCTCTATTCCCATCTCCACCTCAATTTCCCCCTCCTATAAATAAATACAGTTGTCCCCTTAAATAAACAAGGATTTGAATTGCAAGCTTTTGCTTTCCAATAACATTACTGGAAAACATTTGTGGATTTAGAGCTACTTAAAAAAAAAAAAAAAAAAAAAAAAAAAAAAAAGCGCTTATAAACCATGTAATTTAGAAATACAAAGTATATCACGAATCCCAAGAATGTATGCATAAAACAGTTTATTTGATTATCTATTATATATGTTTATTTGATTATCTATCTATCTATATATATATATCTTACAATGAATTTTTTAAATATATTAATTTTAACAAATTAAATGATATCTTTTTACTTCCTTGTATGAAGTAAAAAAGTAGTACTGTAATCACAAAAAATTTCGTGTCTCATATTTTCAACAAAAATATCCATTTTGACCACTATCGAATGCAATTTAACAATATTTTTGCACGACATCTGTACATAAAGACAGAATAAAGGTTTCTTTTCAACCCAAAAAATTATAAAACTGATTTAAAATAAATTCTGAAGAGATTTTTTCTTGGCATCTGTACATATCTTGCATAACTAAAAAACGACTACCTTCAGAACGTTGAAATTTTGTATATAGGGACTGTTATAACATATAGATGTGCACCTTCCATTTTGGTTGCAAACGGCTGCACCAAAAGTATATAAATATAGTTATATATACATATATATTTATTTTTCAGCCCAGTGAGCTCAGTTTCTTTATTCTTATATGTTTGTAAATTGTGCATTTTTTGCTTTAAAAATGATTGAATTATGTTGTTCTGGTTAAGATTTTTATGCCTTTAGTTAACCTGTATGCAATAATTGTGGATTTATCAATAAGTTTAAAGTTTTTTAAGTGCGGCTAAGCCTAATTTTTGATTACCATAGCAGCCATGTTTGTTTGCATTTGAAACTTAACAGAATAGTGGATTTGTTGCCTATCTAGAGAAACTAAGCTTCGCAACAACAAAGTAAAGTCGTCTATTATTATTACAAGTTAAATTATGTTTAATTCATTCTGGAATTATCATTTCAATTATTAGTTTGTTTTTGCATAGAAACTCTAACATTAATTGTAAAAATTGCTTTTTTAGTTGTTTTAACTGTACTTGGTGTTTTATGTTTTTCGATATCTTTCAAATTTTAATGAAAATATTTTGAATTTTTATGTATTTTTTGCCTTCTTGAGAAGTGAGAACTGAATTAATTAGTAATGCTTGTGCATTAGGTAAGCGGTGCTGAATCGTCTGCAAAAAACTTTCTTTTTTATTTGTTTAATTTCTTTTATACATCATTTTAGATTTATTATATTACAGTATTTGTTGTGCCACTTATGGTAAGTAAATTACCTCAGTTAATAATTTGAAACAGAGTGGCAATGCCTCGGTTTATCATGAGACTGTGATTAGAACAGTAGTTTAAAGATTTTTAAAATAGATACGACTTTGTTGAAAATAATTGAAATAAAATGTTATGCCTTTAAAGAAACTTCTTGTCTGTCGATTCAAGCAAGCCGTCTCATTTATCTGATTTAATGAGTATCTTTAGTCTAAAGTAACCGACATTTTTGGCACCCCTAGGGTGGGCAGTTTAATTGGAACGGCGACAAGAAGCTAGAAAAGGTAAGAGATTTATTGCTTTCCATTTTGAAGATTTGATAGTTAATATTTGACTGATTGAATTTGATACCTAAACAGTAATTTATATGTATTGAAAATACAAAGTTTCAGAAATTTTGAGTGAATAACTAAGATAGTAGAAATGAAAATAATAAAGAGAAAACAAAATTGCTCAAAGGGCTTCATTTATGGAGGTTTATAATAAATTAGAAAGCATACTGATGATAGCATTGAATATGACGAAACTGAAATGGGTCTAAGTTTATTTAAACAAAAGGCAGACACTTTAGAATTAACTTGCAACAGTTACGAAGTGTACAGGCGCGATAAGATGGATTCCCCACAAAGCAATTTCAGGGTTGCCATAAAATGGCAAGGGAAGGCAGGGTTGCCACATTTGGCGAGAAACCACCCATTTAGTGACAGAATTGGCGATATACCATGAATGGATGGAGAACCTTCTGGAACGAATTCTTACCGGTTTAGCCCAGAATGTTCTCGAACACAAGCCGAAAGCTATATAAACACTGCTGGTCCGCAGTCAGTTAGTGTCTCAGAGTGTGCCTCATCGTGAGGGCGAGTGGGTGTGCCTCGTCGAGAGGGCGAGAGCGTGTATCGAGTTGGTGTCTTGTCTAGCGATTCAATCCCTGCGGAGTCGATCGAGTTGACAGCCGGGCAGCGAGTGCCGAGTGGGTTGTCAAGTTCACTGAAGGAGTCTCTTAGTGTATTGTGGTTAGTGCATCATCGAGAGAGCATGTTGAGCTTCGGGAACGACTGAACCGAAGAGTCAGGAGCCGTGCTGTGTGTGTTGTCGAGTGCATCGCAAGGCGAGTTGTAGTGTGGAGAGTTTCGAGAGTACGTGGAGTTCTGAGAACGACCGAGCAGAGTCAGAAGCTGTACTCTGGTGCTTTGCAGTGAAGCTGTCTCCACTATTATAGCCTGATAACCTGACGGCTGTGTTGCTGATTGTTCCAGCGAGTGTATAGTAGATCTTCAATGACTGTAAAACATGACTTTGGAGCTGTCCTGATTAATACCGGCCAATAAAGTGTGTTTCGATACTTCATCAAGTGTCGTCGTTATTCACTCCAAATCCTCACGAACCCCGTATGAACGTGAAGGAAGAAAATAACGTAACAACTGGAAAGAAAAACATAACAATATCATAATGTAAATATGACTGTTGTTAGTACGCTTTCTCAAGAATTACTAAATGAATATCCAAAGAAATTGAAAAGAGACGATTCTGCCTTATTTAAGAAACCCATTTTCTTTTAAACAAATCTGAAAGCTTCAAAAATACTGGTTTTAATGCAGTTTAAAGAAGATCAGAACAAATTAACTGAAAATTTTAAAATACCACAGGAAAAAGAAAATCGAAGAGAAACTTTTGTTATCAATTCCTGTAGAGCAAATGCTCCAGAGAGTAGTATTTCTTCAAAGCAGAGAAGAGGTACTTTTGTATCATCCAGAAACACCAAAGTCCAGTATATTGGACAAAAGAGGTACTTATTTTTTGTCTACTTTTGATGAACACGGTACCAAGGCTGTTGATACGCCAGCAGAATCTAAGCTTTCTCATATGAAAACATGCAAATCTAGCTTTTTAAATAATACAATTTTGCTGCCTGAAGATATGGAACTGACTGAAGTTATCACTTTTACTAATACATTTCCAACTAAAAATAATGTAAATGGTTTGAAAACTTCTATCTCTCCTCCATCTGTAACTCCAGATACAAATAAAGATACACTGCTTCATGATGAAATACAACCTATGGGTGCATCAGAAAGACCTGCAGATAAACTTGTGTCCCAAGAAAATAATTCTTTTGAAACTAGACTTTTATGTGAAAATGGAAGTGTGCCAACTGAAACTGAAGACTTATAGAAAGTCATTTTTTCAGATCACAGTACATAAGGTTCTGCAAAACAAAGTACAAAAAGAACAAAGTGCAAAACACAGTACAAAAGTTTATCAAAAAAGTCTGTGACAAAGAAATCTATATCAAAGAAACACCTAGAAGACTGTAAATCTAGAGAAATACTCGAGAAGCCTGCTTTTGAAATTCTAGAAAAAGGAACCACATTTTTGAATGGTATTTGTGCATTAGATCCTACTGCTGTTATACAAGCAGAGTCTGCAATGAAACTTCGTTTGTCTCAATGAAGAAAAGTACGAAAATCTATTGCTTTGTATAAAAAAGAAAGTATTTCAAAACTCTTAGAAGGAAAAGATCATCTTAATTCTGAGGTACAAAATTCTCAGTGTTCAAAAACTAAAAAAACCAAAAGTTAGTAAATCTGGTAGTTTGTGTGATAAAAAATCACTTGTGGAAAGTTCAAAAGAAGAAAGAGAATTTGAAGTTAACAAATCAAATGGAAGTTCAACCCACCATCTACCCCATGGTGGGGAGCATTCTGGGAAAGACTAATCAGCATACTTAAAGATCTCCCAGAAAAAAATCGGGAGGTTCATCTCCGACTTACGAAGAATTCTCGTCTGTGAGTGTGAATCAATTAGATATTTGACATACATATCAGAAGAACCAGATTTAACACCATCTTCATTACTTAAAGATCTTCCTACCAATGATGTGCTCGACCTAGACAAAATTGACAAATCCAACATCAATAGACGATACAGATATGTTCAGAAACTGAGAGAAAGATTTCAAACTGAGTATTTGGGATTTTTGCGCTCATCAATTCCTAAAAAACTGGACCAAATTAAACTTGGAGACATCGTCTTAATTGGTAGAGAGGATAAAAAATGAGTTCATTGGCCATTAGCAAGAGTGATCGACCTATTTCCCGGGAGAGGCAGGCGTACAAGACTAGTGAAATTGAAAACTTGTAAATGATCTTACTCAGACCTATTCAAAGGCCTATTAGAAGTTACCGAACATTTGAATAATATGAACATTAACTTGAAATAGACATTTTATATTTTGAATATTTCAAGCATTTTAATAATAATTTAAGGTTTATATTTTGTTGAGTTTTCTCCCAAAGGTTCTAAAAATCATGTGTGGGGAGAATGTTGCACCACTTATGGTAAGTAAATGACCTCATTTTAATACTTTGCTTGAAAAAATGGCAATGCCTCAGTTTATCGCGAGACTGTGAATAGAACAGACTTTTAAAATAGATATGAGTTTGTAATGAAGCGGTTTGTTGAAAATAATTGAAATAAAATGTTTATGCCTTATTGTTATGCCTCAAACTTATTGTCTGTCGATTCAAGCGAGCTGTCTCATTTATCCGATTTAATGAGTATCTTTTGTCTAAAGTAACTGATAGTATTTGAATAGAACTTGTGGTAATTCTTCAGATGATATAATTTTTGTGCACTCTGAGTTATAAAATGAATGAGATGTAATACCGTTAAGTGAACCTTGTGCTGAAGTGTCACTAAGGTAAATAAATATAGTGAACTTTAAAGAGTGCATTTATTCTATTGTGGTTTATGTGTTATCGATGAAGTAGATTTAATTCAAAATTTGTTAACTGTTAATTCAATATGTTTAAATGAAATGCAGGAAAATTGTGTATAATTTAATATTCCACACAAGGAAGTCATGTGGTGTCCACATCAGATGTATTTTTTTTAATGCTAGTTTTGTTACTTTAGATTCACCATTGATAAAAACTACAGCCTGATTAAATACTTTGTTCTCTATAATAATATCAAATGTGAGAAGTTGACCCAATCTAAGCAGTGATGAATTATCATCCATCACAGTTCAAATGTTACTGTAGGATCTCATTAAGTTTCTTTTGCTGCAGAAACATGAGACCTTTGCTAGGATTCGAATCCCGGATCTAGATTGATGTGCTAATCATGACAGCATGTACAGCGAAGACTAAAATTTGAAACATCATTTCTTAGTAGAGATATGTATAAACTTATTTTTTTTATACATGATGTTCAATCTATCACACTATGCAGCCTTTTTTGACAAATTGAACAAGCACTATTTATCATAATGGTTGCCTCTTTTTCACATTAATTAAAAGCACTATTATGCCATTTGGTTTTTTCACAAAAGAGCATATAGTTTTTACATAGTGCACATAGCTTACATAGGGTTCATAATTATCCATTAAAAGGCTTGCAATTTTATTACTCATGGGGGGAAGGCAGTACAGTATCTGATTAAAACACTTTTATTACTGATCTTCTTTAAATGAATAGTTTGTTTTCCAATAAACAGCATATTATTAAAATATGATTCATGGTTGCTTTTTTCATTTAGTACAGTACTGTCAGTCTTAACATCTATACATAGCAGAATTTGTAATGTAAGAATTACACCCAAGAAATTAAGTAATGCGTATCAAGAAAAATCTAAACTGTAATATGCATTGAAGATTTAATATTTTCACTTCTTTGTTATGAATATTATTGTATTTAACTATATACCATAAAATATTTATAGCAACCAATACATTAGGAGGTATGTTAGGTTACTTTATAGGAAATGTAATGACTGCATTTATTTCATAAAGTAATACAGTAAAAAATCCAAAATCCAGAATGATCTAAAATCCAGAGTACAAGCAACTTATATGTATTTGATATTTTTTCCCCAATAAAACATGATTCTTAATTTCATTTCGGTATTAAATAAAAAATACATCTGTATTGATCAAATAATTATTTATTAGCAAAATCTGTAAAATCAATAATTTCAGTCTGCAGCTGCCCTTTTGCTTGGCACACATCTCAAACCGAAACACTGTAGATTTTACACCTACTGAATAAATTATATCCCTAAAGCTAACCCAGTAAATCATTATTTATTATTTTTTGCTTTTATTATTGCATAATGATCAACACATGGCAGTTTGAGAAATGACTCCCACAATGATATCTAAACAACTGTTTTTTTAAAATTTTATTTATTTATTATTTTTTTTTAATATTAGTAATTGAATACCAAAGAGCATGGTAACCTTGACATTACACTTAATGATGATTACAGACTTTAGTTAACAGGTGTTAAAGAGTTAACACAAATCTCTTTCCATGCACAAAAGAGAGATTTCATAAATTATACTCATAGGTCAGAAAATTACATTCAGTGCATCTGAATTCAGAATAACTCATTTGTTATTTAGATAAGCATAGGATCAAGGCCAAAGCTGGTGCAGCCGCCTAGCAAAATTTTTAGAAATTAGGGAAGTACCGAGAAACAAAATTAAGGGATGGCAAAAAATTTGAGTATTTAGAGAAGGCACTGGGATGGACAATCTTTAGAGTTTAGAGAGGCACTTGGTAGCAGAATTCAGGGTCACCAAGCTGCAAAATGTCCAGTACCAGACCTGGATAAGCATTAAGAAAATGTGAGAATTTATTTAGTCGAGACTCAGAAAAGATTTAACCATGTGTGGGAAATAGGTATAAGTATAACAAATAACTAATGTAATCCAGACTTAACATCATGAGTGTGCAAAAGAAGCAAAATAAAATTTAGTGGAACAACATGTCTTCAGAGACTAATCTCATGATACATCACCAATACGGTATAGTGGAAGCTACCTAAACTTTATGTTGATAGCCATGAATTTAAATGTTTTCACATACCACAAACAAAAATTTCTAGTTAATAGAATTTATGGAGAAGGGGTAATAAATGAAGATGACATAAAAGAACATTTTCCATAGCGATAACAATGTCCCAGTCATCAATCAACTAATGGACAGTGAAATCTGTTGTACGGTTTCTAAACCAGTGTGACAGTGAAGAAAGTGATACAGAGGTTGTTGAGAACAAAAAAATTTTGATTGACAATTTAATGAGGATTACCGACACAACAATTACAAGACCTGATCAATGGAACTTTGTAACTGAACAAAAATATTTGGCTATCTACACAATTGAAGAGAAAGCCTAAAAATGAAGCACAAATAAATATTGTACTCTTTATTTATAAATTCTGAGTCCCTTGAGATCATAATAATGCTTCATTACTTCTAAAAACATATTTCTAAACAAACTACTTCATATTTTTTATTTCTTACTGATGATCTAATATTCAAAATCCAGAATAGCCAAAGTCCTAATGAGCAAGAATCTCAAATTTTCTCTGTACTATATGTTGCTGAAGTATTGTTAAAAATACATGAACATTTAAATATACATATGAAACCATTTTTTTGTTTTGTTTCATAATTTTTATTTTTGAATTTTTTCATTAATAATATATGCAATAATTTTATGTTTAGCATCATATCAGGCAATACTCATGTAGGTACTGACAAATAAGTGGTTCTTTTTTCAATCAGATGACACAAGATAGAAATGATTATAATATGCTCCATAGATGCAATTTTTTTCCACATAATTTTTTCCCTTTTCTTTTACCCTTCTTACTTACTTCATAATAAGAAAACATTATGTAACACATACAGAATATAAAATATACATTAACGTGATGCTTATATTAGCAGAAAAGTTTCTGATCAACAATAGGCATAAGGATAAAGTTTTTGAGTAGTAACAAATTATGTTGCTTTTTCATCTGTATGCCACTCTGACCCTTAATCTAGGTTTACATCCCTAACCATCATGCAGTATAAGGGTTAACTGATTATATTATCATAACAGAAAAAATATAAAATTACTGTAACGCTGAATTAACAACACTTTTTAATACATTCTTAAACAATAAATTGCATAAATAATTTTAGTAAGTTGCTCATTTCTAAAAGTTTAAAAAACTAATATGTAAATTAATTTAAAATTAAAATAAACCTTTTCCAATATATACAGGAAAATACAACAACTGTAAATTATATTTTAATGACAATTTAATCAAGTAAATAATTTTAAGATAAATATTCTACAATTCATAAGTATGAATGGTATAAGGATTTCAATAAAATCATGCAAAATTTTTTCATTTGAACTACTTACCAAATTTATACGGTTTCTTTTTCCAGGCAAAAAATTTATTATAGGCATATACATAAACATGTTTGATACACCAGTCTTCTAAGGCAACTTTATGTTCAATATGAATTACAGGACATGTGTTCCGAATCGATTCATGTACAGGCAATATATCAAATTCATCACTGGAAAAGATAAGACAATTATATTTCAAAACATTTTACAGCAAAATAAAATAAAATGCTTTCAAAAATGCTTTCTGCATATATTTAAAATACAGCATGAATAATAATACACCAAGACAGCACCAATAAGCTGCCTATTTTAAAAGCTATCAAATCAGTCTTGCAATCTAAGCAAAACAAAATGCCAACAGTTTCTAAGCCAAACAAATGATACATCGAAAGGTAGGTACTAGAGGGTCTGAAGATGTTGTACACAATCATCTGATCCTTTTAATTCCCAGAATAAAAATTTAAAATAAACCCTCAAATAAGAGCAGTGTCCCTGGAATCAGAAGCACAGCCAATATTAATACGATATGCAAATATCCATATGATCCAAGGTTCATAAATTTTAGATATTTTTAAATAAATAAACTATAGATAAATTGTAAAATAAGAATTATGATGTCAAAGTAGCAAGCTTACAGACCTGCATCTTAAGTGCTATTTGAGACAAAAGCCATCAGTAATGAAGAGATACAATAACACAGTGAACGAGTATTAATTTAGAAGTCAAATAACAAAAATCAGCGTTATATTTTCAAATTTTCACTAGACTAGTTTCGATGGTTTTACCGAACCATCATCCTCGGCTGTGAAGGATGATGGTTCGGTAAAACCATCCCCCTTTGCAGCAAATAGTAAATAAGATGGTAGTGCAGCTGAGGATGATGGTTCGTAAAACCATATAAATTTACAGAGCCAAATGTGTTCAAATTAAAATAATACATGGCAATTAATAATCAAAATTACAAAATATTTGAGAAAAAAAATATTTTCCAAATTTTAAAACATGACCACGCGCGTGTCGTAACTTTTATGAAAAAGCTGCCACGTAGCATAAAAGCCTAGTTAAAAAAAAAAAAAAAAGTCAAATGATTTCCTGTTGGCACATTCCCATGATGTGGGGAAGGGTTGAAAGATATAAAAATGACCTTCAGACGTCTCAGCTTCGATATATGAAAAAATGTGCATTAAAAATTTGTCGTAAATTTTGCGCATATGCATGTGCTGGAAGGTTAAATAAATTAACATAACAATAATTTCAAGTAATACCATGTAGACAGCATTAAACTTAAAAAAACATCTACAATATGCACAATCTAGGCATTGTGCACTAATCAACAAAATAAACTAAAATAAATTTCAAATAATTAAAGGAAACAACAATAATGACTGAAATTCATACTCAAAAAAAAAAAAAAAAAAAAAAAAAAAAAACAATGAACATAACATTCTACAAAATAAGAACAAGAATAAAATAAAATGCACTTAACATGAATGAATGCTTCTTCGAACAGCAGAAATACCAATTTCATGCTGCCACATAATCACTGTCATATTTATATGACAGCCAGACTCACTATCCACAAAATTGATAGTATCTTTCACAAATAAATGTTAAAACACCTTCTTTTCCTAAATCTTGTAGGATTTCCAGGCGTCCGAAAAAATAGTTGTCCCAGGCTTCTTATATCAGCTCTGCATTTTGGACATGCCAAACTCTGCTTCAGAAGTCCTGATTCCTACAGAAATTCCAAAAATACACTTCAATCCACATAAACACACCCGTCAACAAAAGACCTGTTAACAACTCCAACATCGTACCTTTTAATACTAAATTTGCACACAATCTAAAATACACGACTTAAATTTTCCTACCTTGTCTTTCATTGCAACATTCCATTTCAAAACACGCATTATACGAACCAACAAGCAAATAAAACCACTGCAGTGAAAGAAAGAGTAAGTTTCAACGTCACGACATTGTTAAGGTTTTAAATAAAAAATCTGTTAAAGTTTTACAAAATATGAAATAGACAATAAAACAAATTCGGGCTTCCAGGCCGTGCTCAGGTAAAGGACTATACTATTCACAATTTGACTCTAGGCTCCGTTGTTTTTTCACAATGCAGGAAACATACATACATTCATGCTGATTCTTCATTATTTAATTTCTTTAAATGTAATACAGGGCGATAATATTTGGTGGCAATAATATGAAAAGTAATTTGTTTTGAGACTAATGGCCCTTCTGGGCTAACATTCATTTGAGCTAATAAATAAACAAAAAAAAAAAAAAAAAAAAAAACTTTAACTTAGCATAGAATTTCAATAAAATTTGTATCCATTTGAGGGGGATCCGACATAGGTTCTTCTTTAGAAATTATTATTATTTGTTTTTGGAAAGGAAGCCGTGACAATAATTTGATATGAAAATCAACTAGCAGAGCAAGAACATGGATGTAGTAGCATATATTGCAGAATGTAATAAAGGAACATGAAAATATATGAAAGATATTAATACTGTTGCAAAGAAATAGATTGGAATTAATGTCTTTAAGTGATACTGATACATTCTATGAATATGAAAGGCTTCAAAAGAAATCCAAATCACATTACTAAACATTTGTTCATTTCTGCTTTTTAAACACAGAATTTGCATTACTTGGCAAAAAATTTTAATGCTCTTTTATTTTGGCTGATATTTGTGGGGAAAGTGCAGAATCACCCACTGCTTGGCACATTTTTAAGAATTGCACAAACTCGGTATCCATGTACACACTGACCTATTTTACTTCAAAAAACATCAGAGAATTGCACAAATTCGGCATTGCGCACTCCCTTTGCTCTTATACACATCGATGTAACTTTATTTAAAAAGTCAAAGGAAATTGATAAAAATAAATCCAATTTCTCTTACTTTTGTAAAAAGCGCCAAATAAGTGGGCGATTCTGCACTTACCCATATTTGTTAAACCATATTGACAAAATATGCAGTAACTTCCCTAAAATTAAAAATCAGAAATGGGGATTTTAAGAACAGAATTTACGGATAAGTGAGAAAGTGAACGTTAAACATCCACGAATCTGAGCAATTTCGCAACTAACAGAAAAGTGAAAATGTCTCAATAATTCACAAGTAGTATATAAACCAATTTTTAAATTAAACTGTATTTTTACTTCCTTGTATAAAGTAAAGAAAATTGTAACTGCAAAATATTTTGGACATTATATTTCAATGTAAATACCCATTTTGACCATTTTATTTGGATAATTTTTTTGTGTGACATCTCTACGTACAGACAGAATAAAGACTCTTGTATATAGGACTGCTACAACATCTAGTTGCAACTTTCTTTTTTACTGCAATCAGTAGTAATAGTAAATAAGATGAATTGCAGCAAATAGTAAATAAGATGGTAGTGCAGCTGAGGATGATGGTTCGTAAAACCATATAAATTTACAGAGCCAAATGTGTTCAAATTAAAATAATACATGGCAATTAATAAATCAAAATTACAAAATATTTGAGAAAAAAAATATTTTCCAAATTTTAAAACATGACCACGCGCGTGTCGTAACTTTTATGAAAAAGCTGCCACGTAGCATAAAAGCCTAGTTAAAAAAAAAAAAAAAAAAAAAAAAAAAGTCAAATGATTTCCTGTTGGCACATTCCATGATGTGGGGAAGGGTTGAAAGATATAAAAATGACCTTCAGACGTCTCAGCTTCGATATATGAAAAAATGTGCATTAAAAATTTGTCGTAAATTTTGCGCATATGCATGTGCTGGAAGGTTAAATAAATTAACATAACAATAAATTTCAAGTAATACCATGTAGACAGCATTAAACTTAAAAAAACATCTACAATATGCACAATCTAGGCATTGTGCACTAATCAACAAAATAAACTAAAATAAATTTCAAATAATTAAAAGAAACAACAATAATGACAGAAATTCATACTAAAAAAAAAAAAAAAAAAAAAAAAAAAAAAAAAAAAAATGAACATAACATTCTACAAAATGGGCGATTCTGCACTTACCCATATTTGTTAAACCATATTGACAAAATATGCAGTAATTTCCCTAAAATTAAAAATCAGAAATGGGGATTTTAAGAACAGAATTTACGGATAAGTGAGAAAGTGAACGTTAAACATCCACGAATCTGAGCAATTTCGCAACTAACAGAAAAGTGAAAATGTCTCAATAATTCACAAGTAGTATATAAACCAATTTTTAAATTAAACTGTATTTTTACTTCCTTGTATAAAGTAAAGAAAATTGTAACTGCAAAATATTTTGGACATTATATTTCAATGTAAATACCCATTTTGACCATTTTATTTGGATAATTTTTTTGTGTGACATCTCTACGTCAGTACAGACAGAATAAAGACTCTTGTATATAGGACTGCTACAACATCTAGTTGCAACTTCCTTTTTTACTGCAATCAGTAGTAGCGTGTGCATGTAACATTTAATAAATATCTCTTTTTGATTTCGAGAAAGTACTAGAAAATTCTCGTACGCGATTTTAAAATCTTATAAAAAGGAGGAGAACCTCTCAATTCAGTCAGTCAGTTATTTTAGTTAGCTTGTTGTTGTTTTAAGAGTTTGTTTAGAAAACTGCTCTTGTTGATTGTAGCGAATTCGCAGATTAGCTTTCTTTAGCTGATTTGAATTAAAATCTCTTGAACGTTTGAGTAATTAAAAGATAACTGTGAGATATTGTAATATTGCACGAATATCTGAGAAAATTGAAGTATTGTGTTTTATTTATTTGTGATAATAATAAATCTTATTCATTTTTCATTCAATTCCAAACGAACCCGTACGCACGCAACAATTTTTGTTGTCAGGAGTGCAGTTTTGAATGCCAATTACATGAGCGATGGAAGAATAATTCAGGCAAATGATGACTGCATTTGCTGCTTTCCAAGAAAAGATGGAAGGGGCCATCAAATCCTTTAAGGAAGAAATGAAATTGGGTCAAGATGTAGTCAAAGAAAAGATTGAAGCAGGACAGAAAGAGATGAAAAGGGAATTTACCTGCATAATAGAAAATAAATTTGAGGCTATGGAAGGCAGAATGGACGCGGTTGAAAACAAAGTTGGGCAAATTGAAGAAGACGTTTCTTCCGTCAAACAACAAATAGAACAGAGAGTTTCAGCTGTAGAACAAAACATCGATTATAGAGTTTCTTAAGTGAAAGAGCAAATAGAAGACAGAGTTTCGGCTGTGGAACAACAAATAGGTTACAGCGTTGATTCGGTCAAAGAAGAAATAGAAGGAAGAGTTTGTTCCGTTAAACAGCAAATTGATGAGAGAGTTTCTGCAGTTGCCAAAGAAATGGATACTTTAAAGAAGATCGTAGCGACGGAAGGAAGCAATTCTGACAGTTTTAAATTTTTAACGATGCCTGCTCGTCCCGTTCTGAAACTATCTACACATGACGGGAAGACCTCCTGGCAGGTGTATAAGACACAATTTTCTATAGTGGCGGATGCGAATGGATGGGATTCCCAAGCTAAGGCCTGTCATCTCGCCACTTCCCTGAGAGCAAACGCAGCGGATATCCTGCAGACTCTTCCCGAAAACCAGAGATTATACTTTGAAGCTCTATCTGGCGCATTGGAGCTGCGCTTCGGAGAAAAGTGTTTAAAAGACTACAGCAGGCTTCAACTAAAATCCCGTCAGCAGAAGACCACCAAAACACTTCAGGAGCTTGCCACGGATGTTGAAAGGCTGTCACATCACACCTTTTAGGAGTGCCCAACAGAAACAAGAGAAATCCTGTCGCTGCAATATTTCATCGATGGCATCCGGGATACTGAAATACAGAAAGCACTGCGAATGGCGGATGTTAAAGATTTGAAAAGTGCTTTAGTGTACACCATGAAATTCGAGGCAGCCCAGCAAGGCACTCGTAGAGATCGCTACTCAGTCAGAGCTGTGCGAGTCCACGAGCCAGTGGATCAGTTGATGGCTCGTTTAGATGATTTAGCCAGAGAAGTCAATGCTTTGATACGGAGTAGGAGTGAGAACAAAGTCACTCTAAGGTGTTGGAAATGTGGTATTGAAGGGCACATGTGGCGGCATTGAAGAAAGCAGATGATTTGATAAGACCAGTGAATGCCTTGAAACAGAATACTGCTGAGAAGAAACCAACCCTAAAGTGCTGGAACTGCGGTGTTGAGGGCCACATACGAAGAAACTGCAGAACACCCCAGAGCACGGAAAATAAGAGAGGCAGGTTAAACAGACAATTGAACGCCATGGGACGGAAAAAGATTGACAAGAAACTAAAGTGCTGGAACTGTGGAGCTGAAGGCCACGTGCGAAGGAACTGCAGAACACCCCGGAGAACGGAAATTGAGACCATTTCCCAGCAACGACAGAGGAAACAATGAATGACCATATCGAGGAACGGAGGTTGCCAGAGAATGAAAAACCTTGTCTTAAAGTGCTCAAGATTTCTATAGTGAGTGGCAACAGTAACGGACTGTCCATCAATGGAAATATCGATGGAGTTTCTTGCAATATGATCATTGACACAGGAGCTAATGTTACCATCATTAGGAAAGATGTAGCTGAACAGTTTAAAGATAAACTTATTTGGACACCATCCTGTGTTACCCTTCAGACAGCGTCTGGTGACAAGATCGACATAGCTGGGAAGTTAAACGTGAACATCATGTTTGGAAGTGCCATCTACCATCACACGGCATATGTGGCGGATATTACAGATCCACGCATACTCAGATTGGACTTTTTAAGGAAATACGATTTTTCCTTAGACTTCAAAAACAACAAACTGCTTTCAGCATCTGATGGACTATCTAGCCTCAGAAGGGATCCTCACCTGGAAATGCCGACGCCTCGTCCGAAAGACCCAGCTCGGGAAGCTGCCGAAATCATACTAGGGTCGAAAAGAAACGCAAGACTACCAGCTATTCTCCATCTCAGATGCTCTTCAGTCGAGACCTTCGTCTGCCTTGTGACCCCCTGTTTGGTCGCCCTACGGATGCGCCTTCATTGCCTGAGGAATACATCCAAGATGTCCAGGCCCGGTTTGCAGTGATGCACAGTTCTGCACGAACGTGAGTCAACTTGGTGACGGAGAAGATGAAGACTCGCTACGACACAAGAGCTACTGAACATCAATTCCACGAAGGAGACGAGGTGTGGTTGTGGAATCCGACTCGACGGAAAGGACTTTGCCTGAAATTACAGTCACCTTGGGATGGTACGTACACGGTCCTAAACAGGCTGAATGACGTCGTGGTTCGGATCCGTAAGTCTTCGAACTCTAAGCCTAAAGTCGTTCATTAAGACAGGTTAGCTCATTACTATGGACATAGTACATAGTGTAAATAATTGTAAATAGCGTAAGACCATGGTCCTTTTTGTTTCTAAATGTGTATTTGATTGCATTTATGTTCATGTTGTTTATTATTGTAATCCAATGTTTATACCTCAGTTATAAGTTTGGCTTCCTGTCCAGGGATTTAACTGCCCGGGACATGCAGTCCTTGGGAAGGGGGCAGTGTTACGGATTTGGTATTTAAATAGCTAATGTTAGTTGAATTATAAATTAAATTATTTTATTCCCCGTGCAGTGCAGCACATGACGAATATTAAAAGAAAGCTAAGCTGGAAAATTGAAAATACAAGAGCGCGTGCATGTAACATTTAATAAATATCTCTTTTTGATTTCAAGAAAGCACTAGAAAATTCTCGTATGCGATTTTAAAATCTTATAAAAAGGAGGAAAACCTCTCAATTCAGTCAGTCAGTTATTTTAGTTAGCTTGTTGTTTTAAGAGTTTGTTTACAAAACTGCTCTTGTTGATTGCACCGAATTTGCGGATTAGCTTTCTTTAGCTGATTTGAATTAAGTTCTCTTGAACGTTTGAGTAATTAAAAGATAACTACTGTGAGATATTGTAATATTGCACGAATATCTGAGAAAATTGAAGTATTGTGTTTTATTTATTTGTGATAATAAATCTTATTAATTTTTCATCGGACTTGTGCATTAAATTCCAAACGAACCCGTACGCACGCAACAATATAAAAAAGAAAGAAAATTCTCTATCTCCTTTAGTCTTAAATGACATAATGATACAGAAGTAAAATATTTACATAACTAAACCAAAATCAATGTTTGCTTTTCTAGACAGAAAAAGTATGTCCTTCATAAAAGCACCTTCCTTAAATCTACTTCTCAAAACCAGTCAAATAACAATATTTCTTTAAGTATTTAATAATAATAATAAATCTTACATAAGAGGATCTTTCTTAAACGTATTTCTCAAATCTAGCAAAATTCTTTCCGCAAGATCATCAGCCTCCATATCACAAGAGGAATCTACATGCAGTTAAATTTGAATACAACTTCAAGAAAGAAAACCTCATTTTTCTTCATATACACTAATTATATGTCTATATACCTGAAAAAGCAGTATATATTTATTTATCAGTACAATAATGAAAATTATCTTTCAGAAGCAATGTTATACACTATTACATCAATTTTACAATATTTTACACCAGTGTTACATTACATCTATATTTTTGCACTGAATTTGATGACAGTCATATGCACATATGCAGTGTTGCTTATGTATTAAATATTTCTAAAAATAATGTACTTATAAAATCAAAAAATATGAACATAAAAACAAAAAATATGAACATAACTGTCGAATAAATAGTCAAAATATAAAATTAAATACACATAAAAGCTAAGTATTATTTAGATAATTAAAAATATAACTTTTTTAGGGAACCCCATTATAAACATACGGTTACAATAAATGGAAAAGTACATAAACATACGGTTACAATAAATGGAAAAGTACATAATTGATGTATTACAAACAAGAGAACAGATACGTTATATTTAATTAAAAATTTGAATGCTAGAACAAACCGGTTTCAATTTATAAAGTTAATCAATATCATCCACAGCCATTCGAAATAGTGTTTTAGAAACTATTTATACACTTTGTGCATATACGAATTTCACTTACAACTACTAAATAATTTAAGGGATATTAAAAGTAACAAGCAAGAATGTCATAAACCTTTAACTTGAAAAATGATCTCTTTAATAGCACACACTGATAAAATATGCGAAATACTGCTCAAAAATATGAATGATTTACATTTGGGGAAGTTGTTTTTACACTTAACAATATCCTTACATTAGGCCAAAAAAAGACAGTAACTTATGAGTGTTAAGCATTTGAGACTTAAATCTGTCATCTATTAAATATTAAGATATAATGATAAATTGTACACAATTTCTCGAAACTATCGTATTTACTTTTCGCGTGTAAAACAATTCGTTCTTTAAAGGAGATCACAATAACACGTCTTTGTTCCTAACACCATTTCACTTCACTTTTCTCTCCAAGTTTGGCAATATAGCCGAAAAGTCAAAGAAAATTTTCATTTACTTAAAAATGAAAACAAAATTAAAATTTTAGCAGATATGAGTTGCTAAGGTATTAAATTTTATTGTAAAGTAGATAGTAAATGTGGTTCAGCAGCTTGTTTCAAACACTAGAAAGAGAGCCACATCAAATTAAACTGTCGCATTTTTATTTATTAGAAAGCGGCAATAATTTTCAACTTGTATTTGTAACTCGAAATTTAACTTGTTGAAATCTGTATAATGGTATGTACTGTTATGTATAAATTTCTCTTATTTTATTTTGTTTATTATCTACATGAACTGTAATATGTAGCATATTTTAGGAAATAAAAAAATATAGGTTGATCGCTCCCTTCTGTAAATGCGAATATGAAATACTGAGGAATTCAAGAAGAACATGTGCTTTTCTTATTGATAAAATATGAATTTAAAAATTGAATATATGTTATCAGAATGCAATGCGAGCATAGGAATTTATTATTTAACTTTTACGGTAATTTTTTTTAATGCAAATTGTTTTCGGAAGGTACTCTTTGTTATTCGTTTATCGGTGTCAACTGTTTCCCTTCTTGGTTTGGATTTGAATTTAGAGAAAGACATGATTGATGGTAAAACACAGAAATACAAGACATGTTTTAAAAAAAGAAAACGAATCGGGACTTGCACCACATACGTAAAGTAAAAGCACACAAGCAATGCTATTTGATACAGATTGACTTTGGCTTATGCTGCATATGTGCACTAAGTTATATCATCCTAGCTCAGTTTGTCCTAGCTCAGAGATTTAACTAAAAGTTGTTAAATGTGTATGGGAGGGAAGGAGAATATTGACTATTGTCTTTATGATGGTTCAGAATTTCTAGTAATGCTTCAGTAGTTAATTCACTTCTCTAGCTACTTCAGTCTTCACTGCTGATCGTCTCTGTTTCCTCTTTGAACACCAAACCAATGTTCTTTAAGCCTGTCGATGCCAGACCTTCTGCAGTCTACTTCAACGATTACTTCTGTTTCAACATGCTTATCTTCATATTATGCCTATAATTGCTATTCATGATTTGTCATGGTTTGTAATATTCAAAAAGTGATGCCATATTCGATAGGGATAAGGCAATTCAAGCCCAGGCACTCTTCAAGCTGAATAGGCTAATTTTTGGAATATGGTAACAGGTAGTTTGGCGACATTTTGGTAGGCAATAAAGGTTACTACCTAGGACTTTGGGAATAATGTGAAACGTACTCAGTTCCGATTACGCATTATTTTGTGTGAGGGAAATGAGAGATCATGAAATATGTCATGTGACATTTATGGACGAATCACAGTTCTTTAATCGGAAAAGGGGGTAAATTTGTGAAAAATATCTGCCGTACTTTATAGCATTAGGTTCATTCTATGTTCTGTGAAAGTGTTGCTTAATATTTGGATCCCATGGCCCTATGTAAAGTAAATCCGAAATTTTTATTGCGTTTATGTGTAATCGAAAAGAATTGCTTGAATGGTGTATGAGTGTAGGATTAATTGCGGATAAGTATGAATGTCCAACATGTGGGAATGAAATGAGATTGTGTGAAAGGAAGGATATTACAGATAAGTTTGAATGGCGGTGCAAGAAATCTGGTGAAAATGGACTTTTTGTGAAACGGAGTGTAAAGAAGAGTAGGTGGTTTGCTGAAAGTCATTTGAGTATGGGGGAAATTTTATTAATTTCTTATTAGTGGGTGAATAGACTGCCAGTTGACTACTGGATTATTTAATCTATAAGAAAAGTTTATCCGCTATGCAATCAAGATTGTGAAGAAAATTAGGTAAGTTAGTATTTTTTGAGGATATTATTTTTATGCATTGTTCTAAATGTAAGGAGTAAATAAATTAATATGGTATTATTGGAAAATTGTTATTAGCAATGATTTAGTTTAAAGTAATTAGGATTGTAAGCTAATTTTTATTAATTTAATGTATGTGCTTATTTATATTTTAAGTAGTGTTTTTAATTTAATTATATTTTAATTTTAATTTAATGATCGTGATTTTGTGAGTTATATGTTTGTAGTATTTTGGAATACGTTTGAGTAGAAGTAAATGTGCATGGAAAGAATTTAAATATTTGACACTAAGTATTTGGAACCATTTTTAATGTTTGCATTATAAATTCGTTGGTGACGTTTATAATAGATAATTTAGAGGGAAAAGTTTTTGGATATTTTATTTATTTTATACGTGCAAATGTTCATCCTTGGAAAGGGTATATACTTTTTCGCGATCAGGTAATTTCATATATGTCCTTTTTACCGAATTTAAAGATTCACAAAATTTTCATGCATTTTCGTGAAATTTTTCTAATTTATGAGAAAAAAGCAGTGTACATGGATATAGTGAAGAGTGTGCGCAATGCCATTTTTGTGCAATTCTGGGATTTTTTTTAAGTAAAAATAAGTCGACGTGTACATGGTTTAATTATATTTTAATTAAATGATAGTTATTTTGTGAATTTTATGTTTGTAGGCAATTTGGTATACGTTTCAGTTGAAGTAAACGTGCATGGAAATAATTTAAATATTTGACACTAAGTATTTGTAACCATTTTTAATGTTTTGCGTATAAATTCGTTGGTGACGTTTATAATAGATAATTTAGAGGTAAAAGTTTTTGGATATTTTATTTATTTTATACGTGGAAATGTTCATCCTTGGAAAGGGTATATACTTTTTCGCGATCAGGTAATTTCATATATGTGCTTTTTACCGAGTTTAAAGATTCACAAAATTTTCCTGCATTTTCGTGCAAATTTTTGTAATTTATGAGAAAATAGCAGTGTAGATGGATAAAGTGAAGAGTGTGCGCAATGCCATTTTTGTGCAATTCTGGGATGTTTTTTTAAGTAAAAATAAGTCGACGTGTACATGGTTACTGTGTATGTGCGATTCTGAAAAACGCGGCAAGGAGTTTGCGATTCTGCACTTTTTCCCAATTTTGCAGTTAATATTTGTCATGATTAAGCAGTTTTGTTCCATAAAATTTCTAGCATAAGTGTAATTCGGCTAGCAGATTGTTGGAAAAAGTGTTCAGTAAATAAAAAGAAAAGAAACATGTCTTTACTTCGTGAAGACAAAATGGCGCCGAAAAAAAAATAGTAGAAGGTTGCTGTAGCAGAGTTGGTCGCCAAATTTTCGCCAAAAATCGCCAAGTTACCATAATCCAAAGATCAACCGCTGAATTTGCTGGACAGATTTCCAAGGGTCTAAACAGCATCGCACCTTAGTTCATGGACCACAAATAATAATTTATATTGGCGTATCATAATATGAATTACAAAAAAAAAAAAAAAAAAAGTAAATACATTTATTTATACAATAATAATTAGCAAACTACACATATTTTGTTCACATTGAAAAATTACATGAAAAGTACAAAAATCTTACCTTCTTGTACAGAAAGCTTCACATTTCCATATCACTGAAAAGAAGTTCACGAAAAACAAGAACAAATTGGCAAGTGCAAAGCAATATTAATAAACTGATAGTTTTATGCCGCCAATTTCTAATTATTGTAAACATGATAATCATCGCTTACTCCGCAGTGGCACCATTGATCAATAGTTAGACAAAACAAAAATGGAAACATCCAGTGATGATTCTTGTGAAAATTCCATCAAGTTCCATTCATAAAAAATCCATTAAGTTACCTATTGACACGAAGGGAGACTGTGTTATTAATGACTACAATAATTTGTAATTCAAAAGGAAAGAGAATTCCAGTTCGTGCTGATATTGATAACAGCAGTGTATCCATGGATGCCAGCTCTCACTTTCAAATATTGCTAGATACACCTGCAAAAGTAGCTAAAAAATCGCTAAATTCGGAAGGAATTAACCTAAAAGTAGTAGCTAAAATTTTAAAAAAAGTATAATCCATATTCCATAATCCATTTATCATTTTTTAAACTGAATCTTCATAAAAATATAAATAATGTCCCAAAGAGTTATCACGGACCACCGGTTGGTGACCACTGGTCTAGAAAGTAGTGAGTGGCCTGGGAAATGTTAACTAGCAAAACTGAGAAAAGCATCAAAGATATGCATATATTTGAGTGGGAAAATCAAATCATTCTTCAGAAGGAATGTGGATATCTGTGAGATGTCTGAAGAGCTCAGCATTAGTTATTAATAAGTCCTATTGAATTGCACACTATTCTTACTGAAGATCTGAGTATGTGATGTGGGTTTGTGAAGTTCACGACAAAACAAATGAACAGAAAGCCGAGTTTCAGCTGGGCAAGATCGCTTTGAATGAGCTGTGAGAGACAACATTTTTTCAAGACTAGTCATATCAAGTTGTGAATCTATAGCCACGATTCTGAAACTAAATCTGTTGGTACAATTAAAGGTTTCACCTTTTCCAAAATGGAGAAAAAAAAGTAAATGAGTTGAAACAGTAAAAAGAACATTTTTCATCATGTGTTTGTTTTACTTGTCCAGTGGTCAAGGAGTATTACTGTTAAGCTTTGCAGTGTTTAACCCTTTCAGGACGGGCATCCCATATACGCATTTCCTAAGAATGCCTCTTACAGCCGGGTGTCCCATCCACGCATTAGTAGAGATTGCATTCAGAGGACGGGTGATGCGTATACGCATTTTAAGGTGGAACGTTTTTCTGAAGGCCACTAGATGGCATCCTATGTCCTTTACTTTTGAAATGAACACAGTTTTAGGTTCCTGACCTTGAGTTTGATGTATTCTGCTTGACTGTGGTATTTTACTCATCAAGCTGTTGAGGAAGGGGGGGGGGCGGAGGAAAGCATAAACAGAGATGGGCTCTTTAAATCCCTGCATGCGAATTTGTGCTCATATAAAACATTTGTGTGCTAATATAAACATTCGCATGTCTTGATTTATATCCAATTCCCCTTTTTTTATTCTATTTTTTCCCTCTACTATATACTGTCTTATAGGGTTACTATGTGGAGTTCTATACGTTTTGCATTACCTTCAGGTATATTTCCATTTCCTTCTCTTTTTATTTTAGGAAAGCGTCCACCTCCAGTCTATTATGGCGGGAAGGCACTATTTATATTTATCAGAGGAAGAATACCCTCGTATGGTTAGTGAACCATTTACTCACGCAAATGAGATATTGATACATTTTCTAAAGAGTTAAAATGTGATACTTTTTCTAAGAGTTAGAAAGTGATACTTCTCTGTTCTTCGAGATTTACCACGCTCGTTTTCATTTTAAATTTTGTTATTTCTTACTGTAAATAATCTTTATTGTGTTCTTTTTATTAATTTTAAACTTTATTGATGGATTTTATCAATTAAAACTTTGATATAATCTGAATAGCACTTCCGAAAATTATTTTACAAGATAAGCAATTTTTTAAGTATATTTTCATGTAAAATAATAATAAAAAAAATGTTTTAAGTGCTAATTTTAACATATATAAGAGCTCAAGTAATAGTCTAAAATGAAACCAAAAATTTTGATGCTAGAAGCGAAACTTGTTTTTCTGATTTTTTTAATAAATTTAGGCTTAGCGATGCAAAACCTCCGTCCTGTACGGTGACTGCCTTTGATTCTCTTCTGTCCCGCACGAGTGTCTTAAACAAAGGTGCGCCGTTGCAAAAAGGTTAAAAGACGCTATTTATTGTGAAACATCAAAATTGCTTGTAGTAGACATTGCATGAATAGCCCAGTTTGCATAGCAGTTCATGGCCAAATGTGAAATTTCTCAGATCTGATAGCCAATATATTCCAATAATCCCTACCTTTACAACTTTTTCTTCATTCAATGTTATCCAAGTGTTACATCCTTTTCCTTCCTTGTCAAATCTTCAATCTTTCCCTCAATCAAACATGTGTGGAGTATATTGCATCACTAGTCATAGCACATTATAAGATGAATAAATTGCAGAACAGTTGAATCGAAAGATGTAAAAAAGAGGCTATGTGACAAAAGTCAAATTTTACAGTAGCAGCTAAAAAGCTATCCCATTCTTTACAAGAGCATCAGAAGTTAAAAAAAAAAAAAAAAAAAAAAGATTAGTGTAACTAGAATTTGTGCTATTCAGCATTTTTCAAATGTCTTCTAACATTCTTGTGAGGAACAGGATAGTTTTTTGTTGCGGCTGTGAAATTTGACTCTTTTCAGTGTGATCTGTTGTAATAAGTTATGAAGATTTGTAATGTAATCATCAAATTAAACCTTTGCCTAATTGAAAAATCTGCCTTTAAAGTTGTTTGAAATTCATTGGCTGCTGTTATGATGATTTGCGGTGCTTAACATCATCTTGCAATTGAGTGTTGCATAATCTTTCAGCAGCTGTTTTAAAAAGTAGTGATGTTCAACGTATTGATTGATATTGATTAATTGATTGATCAATTGATGCCGCTGTGGAATCAGTCTAAACATTAAGACAGTATCATATTCAAAATTGCAGGTAATTTTTCACATTGAATTTCAGTATTAAGAAAATAGACACTTTCTTTTACATAATGCACATTGGGAAGATTTAATGTAATCTCAGTGATTTAATCGTCAATCATAATCGCCATACTTTTAAATGAGTCAGTGTGATCAGAGTACATATATCTTAAGCAGAAAAATCTACTAATTCTAAAACCTGACCACTTACAAACATCTTTTCTTCTTGGCATTTTTATTCTTTCGCAGAAATAGTGTTATGCACTATGCACATCGTTTTCAAGTTTGAGTTTCTTTTTTTCATTAAAAAAAAAAAAAAAAAAAAACCATAATAGCCAAAAAAGTTAATTTGGTTGTCCATATTTCAGTTGCTGCTGAACAGAAAATTATATGGAATGGTACTTAGTTTGGATGACCATATTTCAGGTGCTGCTGAATGTAAAATTACATGGAATGGTACTAATGTACAAGAAAGATGGACTCATAATTGCAAAAGACTATTTATTCCATACATATTTTACATTTTAATATGATATTTAAACAGAAAATCAATCAACAAATTACTTACAAGCAAATTTGGTTTTTTTTTATTCCAGTGGAAATTTTGAGGCACTCGTTTTAAGAATAGTTACTAATTAATTTTCCCTTTCTATGATTTTGTGGCAGAATACTGTATGAAGAAATTTTGTATCAGTTGTTTCCACTGCAGACAAATTTCTAAAATGTGTATGTAAAAAATAAATTAATGGCAAACAGTATTATGATTTTCTGTATAAGCCATTAAAATACAAGAAAATGAATGTATACATAAATAGTGATATTGCTTGCTAAAACTGATGAAATGACACACATGATATGTCAAAGATTGGCACATTTTGGAAATTTGGTGGCTTTTGCTCTTCTAATACACAAGTACCCAAGTATCTATGCAGCAAACTTTTATACACTTTTTTAAAACACAGATATTGAAAATCCAAGATACATTTTAAGATGTCAAGTGTGATTAATTGATTATTTGGCTGGATAATTTGTAAATAGTTATTCTTTTGAATTTGTGAAAATGGTATTTTCTTTCTGTGTATAGTTCTATAAAAAAACTTAGTGTGATTTGTATATATTAAAATATAATGATTTGTTTTTCATATTCTAGTGCTTTTTTTCTATGAAATGGAATTAGAGAATATAAACATGTCTGTGGAAAATAAAAAAATGCTTTTCCCATGGGTAAAGATTGTCAACAAAAAATTTTCTAAAGCATTTACTTCTGATTATGAAACTGAAGCTTTGCAGTTGTTTTGTTCGTAAGTACATTTTAGTTATGCTCTTAAATATATTATCTAAGTTTTTAAGAGGGTTATGAGATGTATCTCGTTTTTGAGATGCTTATATGGTGAAACAAGATATATATTAGAAACATAGTAATGAAAATGTATGATAATATAAAAGTTGCAAAAAGGACTATATGTGAAATATAAAATAGGAAAATAAATTTGCATATAGACCTGTAAATTTTTAATTTTAATTGAGCACATCTCATATTCAGGAATAAGGATTAGAGTAAACTGAAGGGTATCCCTTGTATTATCACGAAGTTGTTGTTTCATTTATGGTAAACTGAGTAGTTGAATGTTCCGTAAACATACTTTTACCTAGAATTGGGTACTTCTTTGACTTTTTAGGTGAAAATATATCAATGTTGACATGGACAAAGTCAAGGGAGTGCGCAATGCGAAGTTTGTACAATTCGCAGATTTTTTTTTTTAGTGAAAATAGGTCAACGTGTACATGGATAAAGTCAAGGGAGTGTGCAATGCCTAGTTTGTACAATTCTATGATGTTTTTTTAAGTAAAAATAGATCGGTTAGAGTTGACTTGAAGGTACCCCTTATATTACCGCAAAGTTGTTTCATTTATCACCAAGTTGTTGTTTCATTTATCGCCAAGTTGTATCGTTTATAGTAACCTGAGTAGTTGAATGTTATGGAAACCCTATTATGACGTAATTGTTTGCATTATTCTGGGAAATTCTGAATCGTGATGTTTTGCAAAGGCTTTTGTGGTGCGTGTTGCTTAGGAAGTACATTGCTTGTTTCATTGTTTAGACAGTACATTGGCTGAATGTAGTAGGATTAATTTGAAGTTTCTGTACGATTTGGAACAAAAGGGGAAATTGCATTAATCGAGTGAATTAATTGTGTAAATGAAGGTTTACTTAGTAGCCATAGTCTGGAACTACATAGTATATTTTTGTGAATTTCTGTGGCGATGGTGATATACGGATTGTAGTTTAGATAATTTTAGGAAGTTTTTGGATGCTGTTAAGGAATTTTGTGTGCCATAGACTGAAGACGAAGAAATTTCTAAATAAGTTAAGGGGATTTTTGCTTTGTGTAATGCTAAAATACATAACAGGTTTTTCCTTTTTTATGTATTTTTATTGTTTGGTTTAAAATGTAGTTATTGAGATATGTATTTTTGTTTGCTCTGCTGTAGAATTGGGTGCTCCTTTGACTTTTTAAGTGAAAATATATTGATGTGTACATGGACAAACTCAAGGGAATGCGTAAAACATAGTTTGTGCAATTCGGGATTTTTTTTAAAGTGAAAATAGGTCGATGTGTACATGGATAAGTCAAGGGAGTGCACAATGCCATTTTTGTGCAATTTGGGGATTTTTTTTAAAGTGAAAATAGGTCAATGTGTACATAGATTGCGAGTTTGTGCAATTCTTTGATTTGTTATTTTGGCTTAGTGGCAATTTTTGCGCCAAAAATCGCTGCTACGCAGGCCAAAATGACAAGTCAAAACATTGCACAAACTCGGTATCCATGTACCGCCAAAAATCGCCAAGGGGTACCTTAAAATATACTTTCACCAATAGATCATTGTGTACAGCTACACAAAGCCAAAATAAGGAGTCAAAGAATTGCACAAACTCGGTATCCATGTACTGCCAATTTTCACCAAGGAGTACCCGTAAATATACTTTTACCGGAATAGGTATGGCATCATTTTGCATCATCATTTCTCAGCATTGTGAAAACTCTTGCTCATTCATTATCTAGAACTCAAATAAAGAATTTCCGAGTTATAAATACTTTGTATCATTGTACACATTCTCTTTTGCCACCTTCACTCTCTTGCTAAATGATGTCTGTTTGCTATACCACAATTTTCCATTGTTCTAAAACATAACTTGTATAAAAAATTTTGGGATGCCTATTGCATCCATAATCATATGCGAAGCATAATTGTATCTCTAGAATTACATTATTTGATAATAAAGTTATGTTGAATTTTTCCATGTTTGTCTGCAAATTCATCTGCGCAACATTTTGACTATGAGTAAAAGGTGAATTAGTGCTTTCCCTAATAAAGCTATCGTCTAATATCAAGTTAATATACAGCAAAATAAATCACACACACATATACATATGTGTGTGTGATTTATTTTATAACACATTTTTACACTTATATGTGTGATTTACACACCTATATGTGTAAAAATATGCATATATGTTATATAAAAATATATATATGCATATACATATATGTTTGTGTGTCACACACATATATGTTTGAGTGTAGAATACCATTTTATAGAATTCCCTTCATAGAATAAGGCTTACCCTTCAGACGTCTAGGGGACACGTATACTAAAACCAAATGAATGCTGTTTTAATGATTATTTTCAAAAGGTGTTAACATGTATGAATCAGGATGAAAACTGTATGTACAAGATGACAAATATATTAAAGGAAAGTTCATCATCTTCACATCATTATGCAACTTTTACTCCCACACCTTCTTTGCTCACTTGCATTTTCTGTTCTCTCTCAGCTTCATTCAGTGGTGTGAATCTGTCCATCATGGAAGATGTCATCCCTTACACTAGTGCATATACGTATATATATATATATATATTAACGTATACATATATATATTATTATATATATTTAATATATTTATATATACAGTGGCGGGACAAAATTGGGAAACACCTGTGAAATGCTTGAAAAGAAATTGATTTTAATGAATATGTAGGTGGCGCTGGCTTTTGACTACTGACGTTTCCTATACAACTTCTAAATGCTAAACAGTTCAGTGTTGTTGGTCCTGTTATTGAGGTTGCATTGCTTATGTCGTGTTAACAGCTTCGAACGTGGGCAAATTGTTGGAGCACTTATGGTAGGTGCTTCCGTAAGCAAGGTAGCCGAGGTGTTTCGTGTTTCAAGAGGTATGTATCGAAGATTTATTCCGCATATTGAAAAGCGGAAAAAACATCATCTGCTAATCACAGCACGATGAAAGTGTGTCCTGAGTGATCGTGACAGACGATCATTAAGGGCAATTGTAACAAGAAATAGAAGACCACAGTGCAAAAGTTACTGCTGAAATGAATGTTTATGTTACCGAACCCGTGAGTACCAAAACAGTTAGAGGGAGCTTCATAAACAGGGAATTGTGGCCATGCGCAATTGAGAAGCCACTCATCAGTGATGCTAATGCCCGTAACAAAAAAGGGGTGTTTAAATCATAAAGCCTAGACTATAGAGCACTGGAAGCGAGTATATAGTCTGACGAGTCTTCTTTCAATGTTTCCACTTCTGGCCGAGTTTACGTCTGGAGAACGCATCTCAAGCCTATAATACAGACTGCTTGTGCCAGAGTGAACATGGTGGGGGTTCTGTTATGGTTTGGGCAGCCATATCGTGGTTCTCTGCTAGCCCCATGATAACTGTGTCAGGGCACATGACTGCCAAGACTTATGTGAACATTTTGGCCGATCAAGTTCATCCCATGGTACAAACTTTGTTCTCCGATGGTGATGATGTCTTCCAAGACGACAAAGCTCCTGTTCACACAGCTCACATTGTCCAGGACTGGTTTTCTGAGCACGAGGATGAGTTGTCCCATCTCCCCTGGCCACCACAGTCACCAGACCTGAATATTATCGAACCTTTGTGGTCTACATTGGAACGGAAAGTGCGTTCTCGTTATCCACAGCCAACATCGTTATCTGAACTTGCCACCATTTTGCAGGAAGAATGGTATAATATTCTCTTGGCAAACGTACAGGAACTGTATTTATCCATTCCGAGAAGATTGCAAGCTGTTTTGGATGACAACGGGTTTCCTACACCATATTAAGCAAAGAAATATGTTTTTTTAAAGGTGTTTCCATATTTTTGTCCAACCCCTGTATATATATATAATTAAAAAGCTAGGTAGTAAGTACTTTATAAAAAAAGACCAATTTGGTCTAAAAATTTTTTTTGCGCAATATGCTGCGAAATTAAGGAAAAGAGAAGAAGATAAACTGTAGTTAGCTCGCCAAAAAGTTACCAGGAGCTGTGGCTCCAAGAAAAAGTTCAACACAGTATTTTTTAAAAAACAATAACATTGAAGGATGAAAAATTAGGCTACACGCAAAATAAAATGTATAATATAAAACACAGTAAAATACTAAGCGTTGGAAACAGGTCAATGCCAAAAAATACAGTAAAATACCTATCTATGTGATAAGTGAAATGTTAAAACATATAAAAAACCGATCGATGGAACAAGTTAAAACAAATAAAAACTTATGAAAAAACATAAAAATTATAAAGCGGAAAATGGTAAATTAGCTCAATTCGACGTCCAACCTGGCTTTTCAAGGGAAATTTCTAGTTAAACGTCGAACCAAGCTAACTCTATTACGCGTTTCGACGAAACAGACAATTGAAATTTTTGTGTTACGAAAATTTTTTGTAATTAGATGAATTGTCCTAAACATTTTTTTTAGTCTCAATTGTCTGTATATATAGTTTTCGTTCATAGTTTGAGGCAATATGCTGAAAATGCTGAGAGTTCTAAAGCTTGTTGGAAGAAGTGGCAGCATAGATGAGTGGTGAGACAGTATAAACTTTCAGTTCTAAGCTGTTTTCTAAAAATACATGGCTTTATAAATCCTAAGTCATGTGTATATATATATATTATGTCTGTGAAAAGAAAACCAAGTATTTTAAACAGAGCAAAAATTAAATATTTCGATCAAAATATGCTTTTTTTTTTTTTTTTCATTATTTCAGTACTTGGCACATTAAATCAATATAGGACAAGTTTTTGAAAGTCTGTCTTTAAGATGATCTTGATAATCATTGTTATGACAGCATAGTTAGTCTATATTTTAGGGTACCCTTTGGATTATCGCCCAGTTATTTCATTTATGGTAACCTGAGTAGAGGTACTTACATATTAACGACACCGCACTTACATATTAACGCCACCGCAGCAGAAGTTGCCCTGATGTGCCAAT